GGGATAGGACAAAGAATGCCGTCCCGCTCGTCGCGGATCACCACGTTCAGGAACTGCGCTACAGCCTTGCTGGCGCCGTCCGTGAGAAAGATGTTCTCGGGGTCACTGCAGTGGGTGTTGAGGGGCGAAAGAGCATTAGGGAGTGAGGAGGGAAGGAAGGGATGGGACGGATGACCACGTTCAGGAACTGTGCTACGGCCTTGCTGGCGCGGTCCATGAGAAAAATGTATCCTGGGTCACTTGGGGTGGGTTTTGAGGCGCCTCAAAACAAGTCCGTGAGAAAAATGTATTCTGGGTCACTTGGGGTGGGTGGAGGGGGAGGAAATGGAAAATGTGGGGAAAAGGTGGAAAAAGGATCGGAGGAGAGAAGAGAAGATCACACGTTGAGGATCTGCGCTACAGCGTTGCATGAATTCTTTGGCACGGCTGCAATCATTCCCTATAGCGAGTATACACTGTACCTGGGGTACCCGTCTCGTCTCTGGATAAACTCCGCCACCTCCTTCCTTATCCCGGGCAGCCCGCGCGAGTCACTGTACGCGCCCACGCCTACAGACGTGCAAACACTGCCTATAACGAGTATACACTGTACCTGGGGTACCCGTCTCGTCTCTGGATAAACTCCGTCACCTCCTTCCTTATCCCGGGCAGCCCGCGCGAGTCACTGTACGCGCCCACGCCGCCAGACGTGCAAACACTGCCTATAACGAGTATACACTGTACCTGGGGTACCCGTCTCGTCTCTGGATAGACTCCTCCACCTCCTTTCTTATCCCGGGCAGCCCGCGCGAGTCACTGTACGCGCCCACGCCTACAGACGTGCAAACACTGCCTATAACGAGTATACACTGTACCTGGGGTACCCGTCTCGTCTCTGGATAAACTCCGCCACCTCCTTCCTTATCCCGGGCAGCCCGCGCGAGTCACTGTACGCGCCCACGCCTACAGACGTGCAAACACTGCCTATAACGAGTATACACTGTACCTGGGGTACCCGTCTCGTCTCTGGATAAACTCCGTCACCTCCTTCCTTATCCCGGGCAGCCCGCGCGAGTCACTGTACGCGCCCACGCCGCCGGACGTGTAAGCGAGGTACTTCTTGGCGCGCGCGATGGCGTCGGGGGGAAACATCCGCCCCGCGTCGGGGTGATCCATGAGGAAGGGCGCTTGGAGTAGCGCCATCACCTGGGGAAACGGTGGGGGGAGGGGAGTTGGGGGAGAGGAGAAGGGGGAGGGTCAAGGACGCGAACATGCGCCCCGCGTCGGGGTGATCCATGAGAAGGGCGCTTGGAGCAGCGCCATCACCTGTGGGTGGGGGGAGTGGGGACGGGGGCGCGCGCAATGGCGTCGGGGGGAAACATGCGCCCCGCGTCGGGGTGGTCCATGAGAAAGGGCGCTTGAAGCAGCGCCATCACCTGGGGGGGGGGGGCGGAGGGGGGAAGGGGGGATGCGGGGACGGTTGGAAGAGGAAAAGCAGAGACTCAGAGATGGTAGAGGAACATGAGGAACGGGGAGACGGAAAGAGGGAGACGGGAATGGGGAGATCGAAAGGAGGAGAAGGGGGCACGGGGATGAGAAAAAGCGAAGATTCTTATCAGCGCGGGGAATGGCGGCAGCGCGGCAGCGGAGATAAGGAAAAGAAGGTGCGGAGCGGGAAAGGCGTAACGGGGACACGAATTCGCACTTGTTTATCGCGAATACAACTGTCGCACATACCTGTCGCGGGAAGCGAGGGTGTTTTTGAGACGCCTCAAAAACACCCTCGCTAAACGTGGCAATTTGCACTTGTTTATCGCGAATACAACTGTCGCACATACCTGTCGTGGGAACGTTAGCGGCAGCTGACCGAGAGCATGGGGATTGCCGACATTCGTGAAAATGATCTGACCGGGGGGGAGGGGGATGGGGGGGAGAGGGGGGAGGGGGGAGGGAAAGGGTCGGGGAGAGAGGGAACGTGAGCAACAGCTACTCGAGAGCATGGGGATTGCCGATATTCGTGAAAATGATCTGATCCGAAGGAGACGCAAGGGGAGGAAGCAATTGGGAAAGGGGGTGGGGGAATGGAAGGGGTTAGTGGGTGGGGGAGTGATAAGAAGAGGAGGGACTGGAAAAGGGAAGAAGACGAGGAAAGGGAGTGAAGAGAAGGCCTGTAGACGGAAGCCTGTCGCACGAAACGCTGTAGCACTTGTCGCAAGGATCCTGTCGCTCAGGTCCGTGCGACACCAGTCGCACGGATCCTAACTCACGCAGTCTGTTCTGACGTCTCCAGTGCCGGGTTTAACGGCGAATTCTTCTTGGGTTTTCAGGAAACGTCTTTCAGGGAACGTTAGCAATTGCAGATGGAAATGAGGCCTGATGTTTCGGTCTGTTACGCCTTATTCTCCGCATAAAAATGCTTGGATAATAATTAGCGATGTTCGCATTACATCGAATGTGAGTATAGCGAGTCGACTCGGCCCCTCACCTCTTTTCCCTCTGACTGTAGTTGAGCCGCCCTCAGATAAAGCTCCCCCCGCACCGCGTAAACCGTTTTCTCCACATTCGCGTTGATGGTCCCCGGCTGTAGCACGCGATTATCGGCCATGATTGCACTGCAGCGAATGTGACAGTAACACAATGTGCGGGATCGCGTCCAGCAGCAGCGGTTTGAGCGGAGAAACACGGATAGTCAACGTCTATGATTCTTGGTCACTCCTGACACACTCTCTGCGCAGAAACCTTTTCAACCGGATTCGAAGTTTTCTGTGCCGTGCTTCGTTCCGCTTTTGCCACAAAACGCTAAGGAGCGACAACACAAGAGAAAGCAACTCAGAATACGGAAATGGAGGGACAACGGCTGTAGGCTAAGTGTAGGATGCATGAATCAACGAACGAGCCAAGGCTGAGTGGGCCGAGGGTGAACGAAGTCAGAAGCTGGCCGTGAGAGTAAATAGAATTCACTCAAAACCATACCCAACCGCTGTGTATTATAGGAGAGCCACTCTGCTATGCAAAAATGTCACCCAATCAGATTCAAGCGAACAGATCACTCGGCGCAACTTCGATAGCCTTTCCTTTCACGGGAGAGAAAAACTCGAGATTTTCGGACGTTTGAGTTCGTTATATCGCGGTGAAGCGAGGTAACTGGCAATGGCGTTTTGCAAGAGTGCTCTCCGCATTGTATGGGTTGGATTCCTCCTGAATCTGCCGCGACTCTCATCCCAGCCCATCCATCTGTCTGTACCTGCTCAGCAATCTGTTTTTTGTGGCTCTGTGAACTTCGGCGCGTCGTTTCACGCAGCGAAACCATCCGCGGCCCCAGTTTCTGATCTGAAACGAGGGGCTGGTTTGTGCTGACGTGGATCTGGTTCTGACATACACCCGTCCAAGTGCAGGTTTGTTTGCCCTGCACTGCCCACGTATGCCATTGTCCCAACGCGGGAGGGAACCTGTTACCGTCCCACAGTGTGTATTTATATGTATAACCTTCAAACCTTCATTGGAACTCTTCTCAATGCTTGCAACTCATTGTGACTACGGGCTGTGATGCATATAATGCAATTTAACAAGAATGATAAAATAAACAATAATCTTGATGTTTTATGTGATGCACAATCAGAGCACTTGATGAAAATAAATGAAATCAGGTCAAAACCCAAAGATAAAGTAATAATCTTCTGATTCTATGCACTTTTGACTACACTTACTCACGCTGATATCGGCACAGCCTGTCGGGGCGCGGAACTGGCACAGTGACGGCTGCGCTTGTTCTTGCCCCGTACCGCGTGCCGCTGGTGGGGCACCAAGCACCTCTTGCTTCGGACTCTCACGAACCAATGGCTCCGCCGCTTTCACCCCTCAACAACCTTCGCGGCGAGGGGGGTTAGTCGGACTCGCTCGTAAAACCGAGTAACAAAGGCTTCGTGCAGTTCGAATTCATTAGCGCAATGTTATCATGCCGTAATCGCCACCGTCGGATGTTTGGGAAACCGTTTCGTCGATAACAAATCATGTAACTCCTGTAAGCGAGAAAGGATGACCTTGATGTCGACGTAGTCGCTTGCCCAGTTGTCTCCTTGATGTTTGCGCCCGTCACTGTGTTTCTTGACTTGACAGCATCTGGGCAACGCTGATTGGGCGAGAGAGCAAAACATACAGGCACCCCCCGAGCTGCAGTTCTGGTTTGGCGCGCCTCGCATCTCTCCTTCCACCCGTAGATTCTCCCAAGAAATCGTCCGGCGACGCGGGCCAACAAGTGCCGCACCGCAACAGATTTCCCACGGCCCCTTGAGGCGCGACGCGATTTGCAAATTGGGGCTGCGCCTGTAAACCAGTCGCGGCGCGGCTTTTCCCGTCGCTCGTAATCAAGCCCCTCTTTCCTCCCAACTTTCCCCGCCTCCAAACCAACCTGCCTTCCGCCCCGATCCCATTCACTGGGCGCTTCAATTGGGTCGCTCCTCCTGCGACCTGTCATCTGCTGCTGTCGTGTCTTGTTCAGCTTCGGGTTTGCCGAACTTCTCTTGTCACATCTTCCTCGCAGTCATATCGTTTTGTATACATCGTTGTGAGTTACGCGCTGGCCTTTTCTTCCACCAATATTTGCAATCGGTGATCTCCCGAGAGTCACGACATGAAACCGTTGTTTCCAGTATGTGTAGTCCGCCCTCTGTTCAGGACAGCTTGCTCCGATAGCGATAACTCAATCCACCGCCATAGCCAGAGCCCGAAGCTCTTATCCCTGCGGTACTGAGACCTGATTATTCTCCAACAGACGGATAAGCTAACCCGCGCGATTACCGCCACTGGGATAAGAGCCCGTGCTCCCGCCTTTCCGAGCAGATTGAGTAAGTGGAGCCATGACAGCAATTACTCCCATGGGCTGGGACCGCCGCCACACCCAATCAGCAGCCGCCACGTCTTCAGGTCCCTCTCCGAGAGCTCCCCGAGGCGCCAACGGAGATGCAGCTGGAGCTCCCGCAGCTTCGCCGAAAGCTCCGAGAACGTCCCCGTCGAGCGGCACTATGTCGGGTGCTGGCGGGCCAACCACTCGGTCGTTAGGCGGCTCGCCTCTGCCCCCTCGCCTCGCGTCTCCGAAAGTTCCGCGTCCGAGTGTCGCGACGCCTCCGGTACCTAGAACGTCGCCGCAAACTCCACGCAATGCTTCGATTCCGCCGCCGCCGGTGTTTTCTCCTCTGCCAAACACGTGGTTGAGCGATAAACTGTCCGATCCCAAGGCGCACGGGAGCCTCCTCCTTTACAACCGCGGACTACCCGGTTCAGCAAGCGACGGCGATAATCGCGAGTTTCGCGAAGTTCGCGAAGGAGCTTCTCCAAAAGTGTCGCTGGTTCGCCACGATGGCGCGGGTGGCGAAGTGCTCGTGCGAGCTTATTCGTTCCAGGGCGGTGCTTCTGTCGCGGAGGGCCAGCATGCGGAGAACGCGCAACCCGCGGTAGGCGCACAGCACGCGCAAACTGCGGCGGGCGAGCATTGCGCAGAGAATGGCGGAGCGCTCGTTATCGCGAACACTTTGCGTCGCAACTACCAGCTCGGAAACCGGTCCGACTCGGCGACACGTTATCGGAATGGATATCTGGCTGACGTGGCAGTGACGGGGGAAGATCTGGCGGAGCGGATTGGCCTCCCTTCCCGCGCTCCCGCTTTTGCTGCTTACGTCGCCGCTTCGCGAAAGCTTCAGCTTCTTACACTGGAGGAGCTGACACGTCAGCTTCAGGAGAACGCAATCTGGCCGTCCAAGTTCGAGTCGCTCAAGCAACGGTTGCAATCGAGGGGCATCGCGTCTGGCGGCCATGAAGCATCCAAGAAGCTTTCGCGACTTACGGCGGAAGGTGGCGGGAGCACGGGAAGCCCAACATCCGTCCTCGAAAGGACTCGCTATAAGCTTGCCCGTTTACAGCCGCACCTCATACAGTTTTACCGCTTCTGCCGACAGATGCTGCTGGATCTCCTCTTGTTGTCCGCGTTAAAAGATGTCGACAGCACAGAGGCTCGACTTACAAGCTCTCAGGGCTTACCTTTTAACGGGTTCGCGCTTCCATGGGCAGCGGAGTTTGTTCCTACAAGCAGCAGTCTCGGAGCTATGGTTACAATCGATCGAGCGTCGGGCGTGAGTAGAGCGAGTGGTGACTGTAACGGGGGAGCCACGTTGAGGAGGCAGCAACTCGCTGCCAAGTGGTTGGAGCTCTGTTCGGTCACCGCTGGCGCGGGGAAAGATTTTGCGCCCGGTGACCGCGCGCAAGCGCAGGCGCAAGCTAAGCGGGAAGCGGCTGGTTTGAAGGGAGCGTGGGACGCGGAGAAGAACGACGCGCTTTTCGAGGTCCTGTCGCGGGTGCTGCTGGCGCTACGGATGGACGAAATCCTGGCGAATGGGGTAACTGGAACTGTTGACGAGGAGGAAGAAGCAGCTGCGAGCGCTGTGGCAAGCGGAAAGCGAGCGGAGGACGAATTGGTGAAGCGGTGGCGCAGGCGCGCGAGTGACGGGAGCGGAACGCGCGGAGCTCTCGTGCTGGCGGTGAAGCTGAGCGGAACAGACGCGAGCCGCTGGGTTCTGCGGATGGCGGGCGGTGTGGATGCGCACGTGCGGCGCGTGGCTGCTGGAGTCATCGATCGGATTCTGTGGGATGTCGAAACGGGCCGAGTGCAGAACGAGCTTGAGAAAGAATGCGCCCGGCTGGATTCGAACCCGCGACCTGGTGGAATCAGCGGGCCAAGAAGCCTTGGTGAAATTTCAGCAATTTTGTCGTTACCCGATCCGCTTTCCAGCTGTTTGCCGAGATCTCCTCTTTCTTTGTCGTCTAGCGAGAGCGACAGCAGCGGAAGCGACGGGGAAGATGAAGGGAAAGGGGGAAGGGTGGGTGGGAAAAAGCCAAGCTCCATCCCCGTTAGTAGCTCGGACTTGCTTATATCGAGAGTCGCTGGTGCTTTGATTGCGTCTCTAGGTGGTGGTGCTGCGCTTCCTGTCGGCGGGGGCGGAAGCATATCCTCTGCAGGCGGAAGCATCTCAAGCGGAAATATCTCAGGAGGAGGACTCTCCCCCGAAATGAGAAGCTTATCTCTGCCGGCTGCAGTCGACCCGAAGAAGCTTCTCCCCACGTCATCGTCCACGTCATCGCCACGGTCTTCCACGTCAGCCGGGTCCACTGCTTCTTCCGGCGGTAATGCCGCCCCTGCGCAAGGGGGAACCACTGCGGAAGGGGAGGATGGAGGGAGGAGCGCGAGCAACAGCAGCCGCGCGAGCAGCACCGAGAGCACCGCGGCGAGCAAGCCCAAGTATGGCGCAGGGTCCGCGCGGAAGAGCGGAGAGGGAGGGTTTGGAGTGGGGAGCACGGTGCTGGGACTTACGTCACCGCGCGCACCGACGGAGAGATCTGCGCAAATCCCGCAGCAATTGCTGCAGCAGCAGAGAGCCGCTGGGGACGCGAACAGAACGGTTCCCGTTTCTTCTCGGCTTTTCAGCTCGGTTCCTAGCTCCCCCGCCCACCACGCGGGGGGAGGTTCGGGGGGAGCGGCGCGGGGAGCGCGGTCAGGCAGAGGTGTTTTGGACGCCGAAGCGGCAGCGGCTCGGCTGCAAGCGATCGCTGCTGCAGCTGCCGAAGCTGGCTCTGACTCACGTTCGGAAAGGGGTAGGTCGGGTGCGCCCGAAAGCCCGCGATTTGGTGGGAGTCGATTCCCTGCTGCGCCAGGTTCGGTTGTTTCTGTTTCCTCCGCGTACAGTGCATTTACTGTACCTCCAACCGCTATGTCAATAAATGGGGATTTGGAGAGGACACTCGGAAGGTCGAGTGCAAGTGTTACAGGAATCCCCTTCGCCAATGCTGGTTACACTCTCAGTGGTGCTGCGTACGGGTACAGTGGGAACGGGAGGTTCGGAGGAGAGGTTGGGTGTGGCGGAGCGGGAGGGGAAGGGCGGGGGGCCTCCGCAGCTGCCGCGGCAGCGGTTGCTGCGTCGCGGATGATGTCGAATTCGGTTCCGAGTTCCCCCCTCCACCCCCCCAACTCCCCCGTTCATTACGCGTCCACCCCCGTTCACTACAGTAACAGTGCTTATTCGCATAACCCCATGCACAGTACTGCATATTCTACAGTGCATCAAGTTACAGCTCCTCATCTGGCTCAATTTCCATCTTCTCCCAATAGATGCACATCCAGTCCGCGATATGTGATAAATCCCTCCACCCCTCGTTCTAGTGCCACTGGCATGTACAGCTCCAGTCCCAGACACCCAGGAGCTCCCTCCTCTGCTTCTCTTTATAGTCCCAGCCCATCCCACCGTTACTGCCCCAGTCCTTCCCCCCATTATAGTCACAGTCCAGTTCACCACGCATCTTCTTATACTGCTGCCAGTCCGTCCCACCCAGCTACACTAAATCCTCCTTACTATGCCCCCAGTCCAACTCATTACAGTGGTGGTGGAGGCTACCAATCCCCAAGCCCCTCTCATCACGCCTACCCATCGCCTGCCCCCCAAACCTCTCCCCTTGTTCTCGGGCCAGCTGCTCTAGGTTCGGCAACAGCTTTGGCTGGGGGCAGGGCAGGCAGGGAGACTGCCGTGAGGGCAGGTAAGGCAGGGGGAGAGGAGGGAGCAAAAAGGGGTGGAGTAAAGAGCACAATGCGGCAAAAGGCATTCTTTGGTGCTGGGGTGATGTGGAGTGTGGAAGAGGGGGGACTGGAGGGGGCAGGTGGGGAGGGGGAGAGTGGTGATAGTGATGAGAGTGACTCTCGGGAGGGTGAGTATGACGAGGGGTCGAGCTCAGAAGAGGACAAAGACGACAACACGCTGGGCTTCTCAAGAAAATACAATGCATCTGCCTCTGTTTCTTCCTCCGCCTGTGCCTCTGCTGCTGCTGCCTCTCCTTACAACTCCGGTATTCCCAGTGCCGTCAGCGCCTCTCCTTTCAACCAGAGACCCTACGCTCCATCCCCTGCCCACTCAGCCTTCTCTCGTCCCTCCCCTTCACAATCCACGTTCTCCTCCTCCCCAGCCCATGCCTCCTCCGGTAATTCACCTGCCCGGGCCGCCTTCTCTTCTTCGCCTGCCGGAGGTGCCTTTTCTTCGTCACCTGCCCAGGGTGCTTTTCCCTCCACTTCTATTGCCAGAAGTGCCTCCTCTGGCACTGCACCACCTGCTGCTTCTGCTGCAGTGGCCCTCAGGAGTGTGATGAAAGGATCGAGCACAAACCCTCATGGAAGAGGTACCTTGCTGCGCAGGAGTGCGAGCGAGAGCGGGAGCAGTCGAGGTGATGGCGGCGGTGACAGTGGGGAGATGGCTCTTGGGAGCAAGTGTGGGGGAGGGGGTGACGGGGTGATGATTCGAGCCAGCAGCAGCAGCAGCAGCAGCAGCAATGCCAGCACAGGCAGCAGTGGCGGTGGTGACGGCAGTGACGGTGTGAGGGGGGGCCGGCGCAGATCGTCTAAAGTGACCTTTGCCAAGTGCGGGGAGATAGAGGAAGAAGCGGCGGAGGAGACGGGTGATGTCAAGACGGAAATTCTTCCAGCGATCTCCTGCTGCTGCTGTTGCTGCTGCTGGTGATGCTGAAGCTGCTACTGCTTCTGCCGCTGCTGTTTCTAGTGCTGCTTCTGCCTCTGCTTGTTCTGCACGTGCTGCGTCTCCTGCTTCTGTTTCTCCTGCTTCTGCGTCTCCTCCTGCTTCTGTTTCTCCTGCTTCTGCGTCTCCTCCTGCTTCTGTTTCTCCTGCTTCTGCATCTCCTCCTGCCTCTGTTTCTCCTCCAACTGCTGCCTCGATTTCTTCAGATGACCAGACCGAAACTTCAGGTGCGTTCTCCTTGTTCCCACACTACAATGTGCATGCAATGATGCAATTTCAGGTAAATGCCTTCCCAGTTTCACTGGCTTTAAAAAATGCTAACCCACCGACATGCTTTGTTTGTTTTGCCAATGATATTTCCGCGTCCCTCCTTGTAACAGGTTCGGGTTCATCCACCACACTACCCTCGGTGAGCCCACCATCGCCCTAATCGATCGCGGGATCCTTAACGCCTTTTCTGCATTATTTTCTGCGCCCCTCCTTGTAACAGGTGGTAGCTCATCCACCACACTACCCTCGGTGAGCCCGCCATCGCCCTTGTCAGTTGCGGGATCCTTCACGTCTTTTCTGCATGCACGCAACAACCGCCCTGCCACACCGTCCGATTGCGCGAGCGAGAAAGCATGTGCAAAGCAGACCTGTGCAAGGCAGGGCCCTCCGCTGGTTGCCAAGGCTCGGGAAACCCAACCTCTGGGACAAGTGAAGGTTGAAGGTTTGGAAGGGAAAACTGGTTCTGGGGAGAAGAAGAAGGCGTTTTGGAGGTGGAGGCCCTGGAAATCTTCCAAATGAGACCGTATTACGGTGCTGATAGTGTTTCTATCGATAGCATTTTTTGGAGTAGACGTCACATTGTTTTTTCCTCATGAACATAAAAGGCTCGTTTTCTGTTTCCAAAGGTAGTTTGGTAGTCTCTCATTTAGCAATTTCTGATTGTACCATAATACAGGAGTGGTAAATTGGTTATCAAATATCTGATCACAACTCAGGGCTATCGGGTTTAAAATATTGTTTAGCGATGGGGTTGACATTCTGCACCGCTCCAGAGTCGAAACTTCTAGTGTGTCCAGCTAATACCGCAGGCAGACCACAAAGCCCCCGGGAATGCAAAACCTAAACCTCTCTCGTGCAAGTTGGTAGCAACCAAGGTCTTTACGACCTTTTTTCTTCTCCACACACTGATAGCCATCGTCTAGGCTTAGTTTTGCGTATTCCCGCATTCCCAGCGGGGCGTTAGCGTCGGTCGCGTTCCGGCGCACTCTCCCCTTTGCCACTTTTTTCTAGGCGAGCGACGCGTGCAGTGCTCGTGTTTCGCTTTGCAGAGTAACTACTTCGCCAGGTAACACAAAGCTCGGCTTTGGCTAAGCTTCGGCTAGGAATTGTTGGTCATTAATCTGCTTTCAGGCTGAGCCGCCGTTAGTATGGCGCGGAAAGCGAAGAGTCCCGGAAGCGGAAAGAAGCGCGGGGTAGGCGGAGGCGGAGGCGGAAGGGGAGGGAGATTTGCGAAGGGTGGAGGCGGAGGGGGAGGGAGGCGCGGAGATCCGAACATGGGGTTGACTCGCGAAGACTTCGAAGACGAGATTGACGACTGTACGGCTCCTATTGTCCTTAATTAGTGTCCTGACCTATGCGAACTTAGTGTCCTGATTTATCTCCAGACCCCTGCCACCAGGCAGTGTGTATCATTTCCTTCAAACCGATCGCGTTAATAGGGCTGGTTGCGGCTCGTAAACCAGGCAGCTGTTACCTCGTTACTAATCGCTCGTTCCCTAAGTCGTTCTTTGCTGACGATGTTTCCACGCTTTTTCCTCACAGAACCCTGAGCCCTGGACCTCCTCTTATCGACGCCTCCAAATCCCTGATTGATTGTTGTCCGTTGATCCTCCTCTTGTCCGCTAGTAACTTCCCTTTTTATACCCAAACCCACCTGTCTCGTTAATCGCAGTTCACAAGCAGCGGGATATCATTCCTCTTAACGCGGATGACGGTAAGTGTTCGACCCATTATCCTTTATGCGCTTCATCTCTCTTCGCACCCATTTGTTCTGCCGTTGTTGTGCTACCCAGGTAGTACCATGTTGCTGGATGTGTTTTTTACAATGGGGCGAAGGAACCATGTTAGCATGGTTTGATCCTTTTCGTCAGGCTAAACTGTTTGTCTGTTTGTTTGTTTGTTTGTTTGTTTAATATTTTCCCTGGTGCTGCGCTCTCTCTTGGTGCAGAATTCGAGGAAGATGATGATAACATCGATGCGGATCTTAACGCGGCTGTCATGGACATCAAGGTGAGTCTCTTGTAACCGATAACGTGTGCTTTCGTGTTTGCAAAAACCCAATGCGTTGTTCTTATCAACATGTGACTGAACGTAGCTTGGACGTAGCTGCAAGCTGCATTGTGCCTTTGAACGTCGTTCCATTAGAAATCAAGCAATTAGATTGTCTGTTTGCTCCCTCAGCGTCTATCATCTACCCGCTCCCCCTTGCCTCTTCCCGCCCCAAGCCCCAACTTTCCCCCCCTCTCCTCCCACTTCCCCCACTCTCCCCCCACCCCCTGTTCCGCTCCCCCTATGCTTCTCGTCCTCCCCCGTAACACTCTGTCTTCGTTATAGGGCGCCGAGGACAGTGAGGAGGAGGAGGATGACGATGATGATATTGACGAAGATGTGGAGGCAGATATGCAGCTCTCGGGCCTTGCTGCTAAGAGTGAGTTACTCTGCCATCCTCGTTATTGAGCTGCTTCGTTTGTGAGACTCAGGAGTCTGGGCCGTCCATATATACACGCAAACATACACACATAAATACATAAACACACTCGTGTATATGTGTATATATACACACACGCAGTCGAGGATGAAGCCTGGGGTAGTGAAAGTTATCCATTGTCTAGATAAAATGTATTTAAGTATTCCATTAATTCCTTTGATTCGTTTTGCCTATACAGTGGAGAAACAGGCCAAGTACCTGAGGATGAAGCTTGGGGGGGTGAAGGAGGATGAGGAGGACGAGGAGGAGGAGGATGAGGATGAGGAGGAAGGGGAGGGGGCGCTATGGGGGCAGAAGAAGCGGGAGTACTACAGCGCGGATAATGTGGATTATGAGGTAAGATGCTTGTAACGGGTCTGCTATAAGTGGGTATGGTGCCTGGGGGCAGAAGAAGCGGGAGTACTCCAGCGGGGATAATGTGGATTACGAGGTGAGAGGCTTATAACGGGTCTGCTACAAGTGGGTATAGTGTCTGAATGAGAAGAGGCAGGAAGGGGAGGAGGCGCTCTTGGGGCAGAAGATGCGGGAGTACTACAGTGCGGATAATGTGGATTACGAGGTAAGATGCTTGTAACGGGTCTGCTATAAGTGGGTATGGTGTCAGGGGGCAGAAGAAGCGGGAGTACTACAGTGCGGATAATGTGGATTATGAGGTAAGAGGCTTGTAACGGGTCTGCTTCAAGTGGGTATAGTGTCTGAATGAGAAGAGGCGGCAAGGATACAGTGCGGGTTGTGTGAATTACAAGCTGGGACTTATGCTGCTGCCCTAGGCTACTATTTTTTCCCCTGCCCGCTATTCCAATTCTGGTTAATAATTGCTGGTATTTGCATGCTGGAATTGTTTCCATAACATATTCTTTCCTTTTTCAAAAATTCTCTCCTCCTGTCACGCAGTTGCATATGGAGGGCGAGACAGGGGCAGGAGCAGGAGGAGGAGGAGGAGGAGGAGGAGGAGGAGGAGGAGGAGGAGGAGGAGGAGGAGGAGGAGGAGGAGGAGGAGGAGGAGGAGGAGGAGGAGGCGCTTAGGCTGCAGCAGCAGATTGCAGCTGGAATGGTTTGAGACGGTATAACACTCTTTTTCTCTCCCTTGCTTTGCTCTCTTGCCCCTTCGTCCCTGCTCTCACCCAGTTGCATATGGAGGGCGAGACAGGGGCGCAGGAGGAGGAGGAGGAGGCGCTTAGGCTGCAGCAGCAGATCGCAGCTGGGTTGAGGGTGGAGGATTATGAGGAGGAGGGAGAAGAGGAGGAGGGAGAGGAAGAGGGAGAAGAGGAAGAAGGGGAGGAGGGAGAGGAAACGATGTTAGAAAAGGTGGAGAAGGAGGGGCGGAAGAAGGGTGATAAGGGGAGTGATAAGCGGAGTGATAAGGGCGATAAGGGGAGTGATAAGGTGTTGGAGAGGAAGGGGAGGGGAGCGGCTGTGGTGGAGCGGGTGGTGAAGGATGCGAGTCTGTTGACCAAGGAGGAGCAGATGGCAGCGCTGATGAGGTGAGGTGCGGTGAAATGGGGTGATATTTGGTTTGCTGCGGTTAAGTGTGGTTAGGTGCGGTAATACTTCGTAGGCGCTTCAGGAGGGGAGGGGAGCGGCTGTGGTGGAGAGGGTGGTGAAGGATACGAGTCTGCTGACAAAGGAGGAGCAGATGGCGGCTCTGATGAGGTGAGGTGCGGTGAGGTTTGGTGCAACACGGTTAGATGGGGTAAGACTGGGTTAGATGAGGTGAGATGGGGTGACAGCATTGCTCTCTCTGACCTCAAAACAACCTTCCTCTTGCTGCTTACCATGCACCGTGCTTCCTCCCCCTCTTTCTTGCCTTCACCTGCAGTGACGCCCCAGAGCTGGTGGGTCTGCTCTGCTGTCAGACCTCAAAACAACTCTCAAGGAGCTCAACACTAGAGTGCTGCTTCTCATTCACTCCCTTCATCAAAGTGTTGCCTCTTATCCCCCCTTATTCACGCATCTCCCCCTCGTCCCCCGCCCCTCTCCTTACATGCAGCGATGCCCCAGAGCTGGTGGGTCTACTGTCGGACCTCAAGACGACCCTCAGTACCAAAGTGCTGCCGCTGGCTTATTCCCATTCACTCCCTTCGCCCCCTCACTCCCTCTCCCGCTCCTTCCCTTTCTCCCCTCTGTGTTGCAGCGACGCCCCAGAGCTGGTGGGACTGCTGTCGGATCTCAAAACCACCCTCAAGGAGCTCAACACCCAAGTGCTGCCGCTGCTGTATTCGCATTCACTCCCCTCGTCCGCTCGCTCCCTCTCCCCCTTGCCCACTCCCTCGCCCTCCCTTCCCCTTCCCTTACACACAGTGACGCCCCAGAGCTGGTGGGTCTACTGTCGGATCTCAGAACCACCCTCAAGGAGCTCAGCACCAAAGTGCTGCCGCTGGCTTATTCCCATTCACTCCCTTCGCCCCCTCACTTCCTCTCCCGCTCCCCCCCCTGCTCCCCTTCACCTGCAGCGATGCCCCAGAGCTGGTGGGTCTGCTGTCGGACCTCAAGACAACTCTGAAGAAGCTCAGCACCAAAGTGCTGCCGCTGGCTTATTCCCATTCACTCCCTTTGCTCCCTCACTTCCTCTCCCGCTCCTCGCCCTGCTCCCCTTCACCTGCAGCGATGCCCCAGAGCTGGTGGGTCTACTCTCGGACCTCAAGACAACTCTCAAGGAGCTCAACACCAAAGTGCTGCCGCTGCTGCAGCAGGTGAGATGAGTCAGCTGGACGCACGCCCACTCGCAACGCGGGTTGCTGCTGCACTAGTGTTGTTGTCTTCTCTTCTTTCTGTTGTTGCGGCTCACTCACTCTAAGCCCTTGACTCTTACTCACACCTCTCCCTGCCCTCGATTGCTCCAGGTGCGTCTGCTCTTCTCCCTCACTCCTTCCTTCCTGCACTCTCTTTCCCTTTGATTCCTCCAGGTGCGGGAGGGAGAGTATGCAACAGAGAACGGAGTGTCCTACCTGGAGGCAAAGCACGGGCTGCTGCTGCACTACTGCTGCTGTCTGCTCTTCTTCCTGCTGCTCAGGGCGGAGGGAAAACCAGTCAGGGACCACCCAGTGGTCTCCCGGCTCGTGGAGCTCCGTTTGTTCCTAGAAAAGGTGGGCTTGGGGTGTGGGGCACCGTGTGTAGGGCTGCTGCTGCTGTCTGCTCTTCTTCCTGCTTTTGAGGCGCCTCAAAAGTTATTCCTTGAAAAGGTGGGCTTGGGGTGTGGGGCGCCGTGTGTAGGGCTGCTGCTGCTGCTGCTGTCTGCTCTTCTTCCTGCTGCTCAGGGCGGAGGGCAAGCCCGTGAGGGACCACCCCGTGGTCTCTAGGCTCGTGGAGCTCAGATTGTTGCTGGAGAAGGTGAGTTGTTGTTGTACGGTCTATTGCTGCAACAGTCTTCTGCTGCTGCACGGGCTATTGCTGCTTCACGGTTGTCTTCCTACTGAACGGTCTACTTCTGCTGAACGGTCTTCTGCTGCTGCACTGCGCTCTTCTTCCTACTGCTCAGGGCGGTGGGCAAGCCTGTCAGGGACCACCCCCGTGGTGTCTCGCTTTGTGGAATATCCACTTGCCCTCCCTCCTTCCCACCCACCCCCACTCTCCACCCCCTCCCTACAGATCAGATCCGCCCTATTGACAAGAAGCTGCAGTATCAGATTGAGAAGCTTCTCAAGCTCACTGCTTCCCCTTCCCCCTTTCCCATTCAACTCCCCCCACCCCCCCCTTTCCCCCCTCTTTCAACTTCTTGCCCCCCCGTTTCCCCCTCTTGCCTCCCCTTCCCCCCCTCCCCCTTTTCCCAAATCAGATCCGCCCTATTGACAAGAAGCTGCAGTATCAGATTGAGAAGCTTCTCAAGCTTGCTGCTTCTCCTCCCCTCTTCCCCCTCCCCGCACCCTTTCCTCTCCCTTCCCCACTCCCCGAAATCAGATCCGCCCTATCGACAAGAAACTGCAGTATCAAATTGAGAAGCTTCTCAAGCTGGCATCCTCAGCCAATCGCAGCGCGACACCTGGCAAGCAGTCCGCAGCAGCAGCAGAGGGCGGGGCGCGAGGGTCACTAGACGACCTGAAACACCGCCCAAACCCCAACCTCCTAGTGTCAAAACTAGGGGGAAGTGGCGGCGATGGGGGAGAGGGTGGGAGCGATGCTGCTGGTCTTGACGGTGCTGCTGCTGGTGGTGCTGCTGGTGGTGGTGGTACTGGTGGGGTGTATAAGCCGCCTAAGATTGCGCCTATGGCTATGGATGGGGAGAAGGAGGGGGGGAGGAAGGGCGGGGAGGTGGGGGTGCGGCGGGAGGAGAGGGAGTTGAGGGAGGCGAGGCGGCGGGCTGCTAGGAGCGCGTTTGTGAAGGAACTGGCTGAAGACGTGGAGGGACGACCCAGAGAGGTGAGATTGCTTTGTGCTTTTGGCATGGGAGGGAGTGGGGGCAAGGAGGCGGGCTGCTAGGAGCGCGTTTGTGAAGGAACTGGCTGAAGACGTGGAGGGACGACCCAGAGAGGTGAGATTGCTTTGTGCTTTTGGCATGGGAGGGAGTGGGGGCAAGGAGGCGGGCTGCTAGGAGCGCGTTTGTGAAGGAACTGGCTGAAGACGTGGAGGGACGACCCAGAGAGGTGAGATTGCTTTGTGCTTTTGGCATGGGAGGGAGTGGGGGCAAGGAGGCGGGCTGCTAGGAGCGCGTTTGTGAAGGAACTGGCTGAAGACGTGGAGGGACGACCCAGAGAGGTGAGATTGCTTTGTGCTTTTGGCATGGGAGGGAGTGAGGGCAAGGAGGCGGGCTGCTAGGAGCGCGTTTGTGAAGGAACTGGCTGAAGACGTGGAGGGACGACCCAGAGAGGTGAGTCACGACACATTGAGGCAGTGAGATCGCTAGTCACAGTGTGTAGGCTGGCAGGTAGGCAGCCACATTGAGGTGAGGCGGCGGGCTGCTAGGAGCGCGTTTGTGAAGGAACTGGCTGAAGACGTGGAGGGACGACCCAGAGAGGTGAGTCTGATCTAACACCCTTGGGTTGAGTGGGTGGTTAAGAGACGAAGGTGGGGCGAGGAGGGAGGAGAGGGAGATGATGATGGTGGAGGGCAAGGAGATGGAGAGGGAGGTGGAGCGGCTGAGGGAGAGGGAGAGAGGGCGATTTTGATAGGCTTGAATGCGCACTCACACTAGCTTCCACGCCTGCATGCCCTCCCTTCGCCCACTCCCACCACCCCCAATGCACAGATGCGAGTGGAGGGAGCGTCGACGATGATGGTGGAGGGCAAGGAGATGGCGAGGGAGGTGGAGCGGCTGAGGGTGAGAGAGGGAGCAACTGATGCTTGAAATCATAGTTGAGTCCTCTCCTTTCTTCCCTTCCCCTCCCCTACCTCACAGATGCGAGTGGAGGGAGCGTCTACGATGATGGTGGAGGGCAAGGAGATGGAGAGGGAGGTGGAGCGGCTGAGGGAGAGGGCTGCAGCGGAGGAGAGGATGTTCTCTCGCGTGCCCCTCAACCGCGGGGAGAAGCAGCGCCTCAAGGCGCTCAAGAGGAGCCAGAACATGTGAGTCTTGCATGGGGGCCTTATGATTGGGCTGAGCCTGAGTATGAGGAGATAGAGTGGCTGAGATGACTCTGAGGGAGAGGGCTGCAGTGGAGGAGCGAATGTTTTTGCGCGTGCCTCTGAACCGCGGGGAGAAGCAGCGACTTAAGCCCTCAAGAGGAGCCAGAACATGTGAGTCTTGGGTTTTTGAAACGCCCCAGAACTGAGATAGATCAGCTCAAGGTACTCAAAGGCAGAGGGCTGCAGCGGAGGAGAGATTGTTCTCTCGTGTGCCTCAGAACCGCGGGAGAAGCAACGACTCAAAGCGCTCAAGAGGAGCCAGAGCATGTGAGTTTTGAGCGTGGGCTTATGAATGGGCTTCACTTGTTGACACCTCGCCTTCTTATTCTACTGCCTGTCTGCTCCTCTTTCTCTCTTGCCTGCCCTGCCCCTCCCCACCAGGCTGGCCGGTATGCTGGATGATTTCGACGATGATATCGCTGGCATCATGGCAGCCGGGGAGGAGGGGGGCGCACAGCCCGGCCTCACAGCAGCAGCAGGAGGAGCAGCAGAGCGGGGAGGGATAGGAGGACTGACGAGTGCTGGGATGCTGGAGTCGCTGCTGCGGCCTCGCAAGCTGTCAGAGGCGATTCACGAGGCGGGCAAGATGACTTCCCTCAGAGGAGCACAGGGCAAGGTATGATTCACATTCCACAGTACATTTCTCTTCACAAGTCCTTGGGAGTGGCATTAGAGCGTGCAACAGGGGAGGGATAGGAGGGTTGACGAGTGCTGGGATGCTGGAGTCGCTGCTGCGGCCGCGCAAGCTGTCAGAGGCGATTCACGAGGTGGGCAAGATGACTTCCCTTAGGGGAGCACAGGGCAAGGTATGATTCACATTCCACAGTACATTTCTCTTCACAAGTCCTTGGGAGTGGCATTAGAGCGTGCAACAGGGGAGGGATAGGAGGGTTGACGCGTGCTGGGATGCTGGAGTCGCTGCTGCGGCCGCGCAAGCTGTCAGAGGCGATTCACGAGGCGGGCAAGATGACCTCCGTTAGGGGAGCACCAGGCAAGGTACGTTGCACGCTGCACAGTACACTACCTCTGCACGAGTATTTAAGAGTTGGATTAGAGGGTGCTGCAGGGGGGTGAAGGCTATGCTGGAGTCGCTGCTGCGGCCTCGCAAGCTGTCAGAGGCGATTCACGAGGCGGGCAAGATGACTTCCCTTAGAGGCGCACAGGGCACGGTATGTATGGGGCATTGGGTTAGCATGTGCAGGAGTGGGAGGCAAAGGGTTGATGAGTGCTGGGATGCTGGAGTTGCTGCTGCGGCCTCGCAGGCTGTCAGAGGCGATTCACGAGGCGGGCAAGATGACTTCACTCGCTCGCTGATCTCCCCTTAAAGCTGCATGAATGGATTCGATCCAAGAATGCTTATTCCCATTGACTTTTGAGTCTCCAGGAATGCTTATTCCCGTGGACTTTTGAGTCGACTAAAAAGTCACTTTTGAGTCAACTCAAAAGTCTCCAGGAATGCTTATTCCCATTTACCGGTAAGAGTAAAGTTCGATTCCCGTTTTCTTCCTGTTGCACTGTGCTCTCTCTTTCAGGTGATTTCAGGAGATGCTGATCTCCCCTTGAAGCCGGACCTGGGTGAGCGCCGCCGAGCCTACGAGGCAGGCGTGGTGGCAAAGCAGGTTCGAAAGCGAGGCTCGGAGGACCTAGGGTTTGACCAAGGAGACGAGGAGGAAGGTGGGGAGGGAGAGGGAGGGGAGGAGGACGAGTTTTACGCTGAGGCTCGGAAGATGCAGGAGGCTCGGCGGTCTGCCAAGGCTGCCAAATACTCTTCGTGAGTCTCTCTCTGCTGTGTTCATGTTTGTCCTGTTTGTTGTTCATGTTTGGCTGTTTGTCTTTCTTTTTGTTGTTTGTTTGTTTGTTTGTTTGATTTCTCCTTTTTCCCCTTCCCCTCCCCACCCACCCCCTCCTTTTTCTCCACCTTTTCGTGTTTTCGGTCCCTTCCTGTTTCTTGCCCTCCTCTTTCTTTCCTCTGAGAAGTCTTTTCGTGAGCTTTCTGCTGCTTACCCTTTCTCTCGTCTCTCTACTCTTTTTGCCGCATCTCCCTCTTGCCCTTGTCAGCTCTGGCCGCATTCCTGAAGCAGAGCCCTCAGTGGACGAGGATGGGCGCCGGCAAATCACCTCCCAGGTGCGTCCTTCACATCCGTTGTTATATTCACATCCTTCCGCCCTCATCCATCCTTGTCTTCACATCCTTCCGCCCTCATCTATCCTTGTCTTCACATCCTTCCGCTCTCATCCATCCTTGTCTTCACATCCTTCCGCTCTCATCCATCCTTGTCTTCACATCCTTCCGCTCTCATCCATCCTTGAATTCACATCCTTCCGCTCTCGTCCATCCTTGTGTCACCCCATGCTCCCTCCACTACCCACCCTCGCGCGCCCATCTGTCCCTGTGATTTCTGAATCGATTGGAATCTCACCCCATGCAGCCACCATTCTCCACCCGTATCCATCCCTTCTTTTGCGTCAGATTGAGAGGAATCGCGGCCTGACAGCACACCGCAACAAGGCGGTGAAGAACCCTCGCAAGAAGTACAAGGTATGCCAATGCTAGTGCAGGTATCACACATTTTGAGCAGCCTCCCACCCACTTCAACCCGTCCCAGCCCCCTCCTGCTCCCTCCCTCTCCCCACTATTTCCTTGTTGCAAATGCCTATACATTTTCCCCTCCCTTTTCCCCTCTTCGCTTCCTCCCTCGCTCAATCATCAACTCCTTTGAACAAATTTTACCCTTATGTTGTTTCTCAAATCTTTGTTATTCCAGCTCAAGCATGCGAATGCTGTGGTTCGGCGCAAGGGCCAGGTGCGAGACGTCAAGCATGAAACTGCTCCTTACGGTGGCGAATCTACTGGTATCCGGTCCAGCATCAGTCGCAGTGTTAGGATTGGCTGAAATTTGTGCATTTATTGTCATCCGGAAGGTGATGATCAGGGAATTTACGTCACGGAGACAGCTCGTAGGCATGGTTGCTTGCTTTTCGGAGCCTGCATGATAGCATTTTTGCATTCAATCGGCTTGACATTTGTGTAGAGTTGAGTTGTTAAATAAAACAACCTTACACAATTATGTCTTAATATTGATTGATGCGTGAACAGTGCAGGCATGAATAATTCCGCCAGCATGTGTTTACGGTCTTATCAAGGAATTGAATTTGCTGTGACCATGGTTACAGCCAATATATTCACTCGGTAGCGTCGCGCTGCCCCCAGAAGGGGCCTCGGTAGCCGCTACTGGGTAACAGGACCTGAGCTCCCTGCGACCAAAAGATACAAATCTTTCTCGACAGCTCAGCTTTCCTGGTTCGACTGATTGGCTCGCGAAGAATGCTAGACAGGAAATGAGTGGAAGCCGTCGGCCCAGAGCCACTAGATTGCGGGGAAAGCGCAATCACACGTGCCTCCACCGCCGTGATCTCTCTCGATATTTGCACAAAGCCAGCTCTCGCTGAAATCTAGGAAATGTTTTGTGTTTCTGTGGATCCATTTTGTACTTCCGCTCGCCAGCCCCCCTAGGCTCGGTCGCCGGAAGTGCTGGACCACCAGGGGCCAGCCATTTCTCCTTGGTACACCGGCCTAGAGATTCCTTTTGGAATGGACGGCTGGGATCGTGTGCTGTTGATCTGGGGCGACGAGAATGGCACTCTTCATTCTCATTCGGTATTTGCAGGCAAACCAGACCTTTGGTAGCTAGAAGCTCAGCAACACCATGGCTGCTTTTGCAGTGATTATTTTCTGACGAGCCTGTGGAAGCTGGAAGCTAAAAGCACGTCAGTAAAGCAGTCAAATTGAGACTCAAGCGCCATTTTGTTTGTTTTATCGGCTTCAAGGCGTACAATTTTCATTTAATTCTCTCCCACTCGCAATTTGTTGAAGATCCCTGGTCTGGTCGCCGTCTGAAAGGCGCGATCTTGGTGACCGAGCAGTCTCGCACCGTGCTCTGGCTCCGTTCATCGACTTAAATTATGGAGTTTGTAAAAACGCTTTCCCGGCCGATCGCTCCGCAACCTCAATCACTTATCGGAAGAGGACGGATCTGCTCGCTACAAGATAGAAAAGGCTCCTCGTCTGTCGTTGTAGCCATCACTGGCAATTCCTCCCCCATTGTAACGTCTCTGGAAAAGAGCAACACATCCTCGAAAGAAAACAGCACGTCTGCGACTAGTATCAAAGCGCCGCTACTCCAGTCGGAGAATGGCGCTATAGCTGGCCGACCATCCTCACCGATCCAAGAGCATGCGTCTTCATTCAATGTACCTGGCGTTGATGAAGGGTTGATTTGGACGGAGGGAGGTTCCGAGCAGCTCGGTGCGCTGCTTGAAGGAGGGAGCGTTTACCGAGAGAGATTCGTTATCCGGTGTTACGAAGTTGGCGTTCATAAGACCGCGTCGATAGAGACTATCGCCAATTTATTGCAGGTAAGATGATTCAGTCTTGAAAGGTTACAGTCTAAAAAGCTTACGTTCGGGTTCTATGAGCTTATTTCAGTGATTCATTTGCTGGATTCCAGGAAGTGGGGACCAATCATGCTCACAGCGTTGGATTCTCTAAGGACGGCCTGGCAACCACGCCAGGAATGCTGAGACATAGTTTGATATGGGCAACAACTCGGATCCACATCGAGATGTACAAGTATCCCACCTGGTAACACTTCAATTGACGTACTCATACCTTCATGTCAATATCTCAGTTGAGTCACATTGTGCCTCGTGATGCATTTTCCAGACTGCTTAGTAGGGTTCACCTTTTCTTCTTGTCTGATAACAGGGGAGACGTCGTTGAAATTGACACGTGGTGTCAGTTAGAGTCAAACATATTGACACGGCGAGACTGGATTATTCGGCTGTCAAAATCCGGTGACGTCATTGGTCGAGGCACTAGGTAAGAGATTTTGTTGCTATGCATGCACATGTCCCTCTTGCTCTTTCGCGCTCCCATTGCCCGCTAATCAGTCTATACCTGCGATGTGCAGTTCCTGGGTGATGATGAACTCCAACACACGTCGGTTGGCTCGAATTCCGTCTGATGTGTGGGACGAAATCATTGTTCACTGCCCTAATCCTTCCCTGTAAGTCTCCTCCGCGTGCACTTCATCAGAAACACAGCTTTACGCCTTGAAAGTACAGGCGTTTTGAAGTAGAAAAGTGGAAAGTATTGAAGTTCTGAAGTAAACACTAAGTCTTTGTTGATCCCTCTCTGGGCAGCTATGCTCTTCCCCCGGACGCGGTGGACAAGTTGCCGAAGCTCAAAGAGCCCGCTGACCATTCTAAATCGAGTCTCTGTGTGAGTGCAGTTGCTTTAGTTGCTCCTGTTGTTAATGGTATTGTTTCGTGATATGCTGTTCGCATCAACGCTATTTTTAAGTTCACAATGCCGTCTATATATCAATTCAGTCCTTCCCTTGCGGTTCTTACTGAAAATGCCACATTGCTGCTGCCACGACTTATTGCAGGCCAGAAGAAGTGACTTGGACATGAATCAGCATGTCAACAATGTTACCTACATTGCATGGATGCTCGAAGTAAGTGGGTGCTAGCCCAGGGGGTATCTAACTCGTACTTTTGTTCTACGCTCTTTGCAGTCTAATTGGTTGTGCCAAGGTGCAAAAAGGTCAAGCACAAAAACCGTTTCACAGCAGATGGAACTGTTCTGTGCCACCAAGAATCAACTGTAAACATACAAACTGGACTCCCGCTCACTATGCCTGTTCATTTGAACATGCCCATAACAATGAACATCTGATACATGCTTTTCTTCGAAGACCCTTTCACTTCCCAGTTTTGCCCTCCTTCACGTTCCAGTCTTTTCACTCTGTATCTGTCAGTCCTGCTCACCCTTCTTCCCTTGCTCTATTTCACTTCCAAACCTCATCATTTCCCTCGACAGAGTTTGCCTCAGGATCTTGTCGACAGCTCGGAGCTGGCTCAAATAAGCATTGAGTATAGGCGAGAATGCAGTCAGAACGACATGGTGGAAACACTGGCCAGTCACACAGTGCCTGCCGCCAAACCAGAGGCCATCAAACAGTGCACCACCACAGATGGGCTGCTTTTGTCAAAGGAATCCGAGGAGGCGAAAGGCGTCTGCTTGCTAACGCTGGTGGAGCGGGAGAGCCCTGAAGAGCTTCAGCACTTCTCGCACATCCTGCGGCTTCAGGACAGCAAGAAAGAGATCAATAAGGGTCATACAGTTTGGCGCAAGAGGAGATAATTTATTGTTTTAATGCAGGCTGCTGCACGTACAACTCATCAATGCAGTTTGTGCTCTCTAATGTTCATTGGCAGTGACTTTGGGCTGACGCTATCAGACTAAATAGTCTGATTAGTCTGATTAATCAGACCGCAACAATCCCCTGATTTGTGCCTTCAGAGTAGAAAAAAGAAAGGGGGTGCAGATCAGAGTGCCCTATATCTAGGACGCCTTACCTATTCAATTGTTGCATAGACCTGATTTGTATCAAATGCCAAGCTGGCAGTTATGAATTATGCTACCATTATCATGTATTGATCATGTTCCAATCCAGCTTCAGAGTTTTCGGATTTCTTATGTGTACTGAACATTTCTGAGAACGAGTCAAAAAGCTTGTCAGAGGGAGATGACTTTGTGATGATTGTGATGCACACAAGAGAAATACAAGCTTTTCCTCACACACTGAGATCCACTGAAGCGTACAACATGGAGATTTTTTTTGGCTTCACTTTCGAAAATGGAAGTTTACAACTGAAGGCTGCATGAAGGTCTGCTGCACTGAAATGGCGAAGGGAAGAAACGGATGGAAAATATATGTTGCCACTCGCTTTATCCGCGCATCTGGGTTTGCAGACTCATAACCTGCACCAAGGCAATCAAATTACAGTACGGTTAAGTATGTACATAATTCAAGACAGGAGGCACACCGAAACACCTGTAGCCCAAAGGCCTGGTGCAGCAAAACAGCAGGGAGCAATATAACACGCTATGGTACATGTAGTATGTCCTGCTACTTCGATCCTCTGTCACTTAGCGGTTAGAACCCAGAATTCCACAAAAACACATAGCCCGCCTGGAATTGCCGAGAGTTTGCACTGAGCATATGGTACCTGGGTTGATTTTGAACTTGAGGACGTTTGGCCGGCGCCGCAGGATGAATTTAATTGGGTGCTCCACACAGGGCTTGTGCCGGTCCGACGCAGATATGAGCTGGAGTGGGACGGTGGAAGGAGAGGAGGCATGGTGGTGATGATTACTTTTCAGCTGACTCAAAAGTTGCAGGATGAATTTGATTGAGTGTTCCACACAGGGCTTGTGCCGATCCGACGCTGATATGAGCTGGGACGGTGGGAGGAGAGGATGCATGCTGAGGAGGTGAGAATTACGATGCCAAGCTGTTAGATGTGTGTAACAGCAAAAACGAGGGCTATGAGAAGGTTATTAGAGGGTTATGACAGAGAGAGGCTATGAAATTATTCTGAGACAGCTACGACAGTGGGTTATGCCTCAGCACAAGGGGAGTAACGTAGCGCCTCATTGCTGCCCTCGCCTTCTCATCGAAGTGAAAGAGTGACAGATCGAAGCAAGGTGATGGGGAGTAGGTGTGGGCGCTGTAGGGCGAAGTGGGGAGTAGTATTTCTGTGCTACCCATGGAGCTCCTCACCTGCTACAGAGCACAAGAGGTGTAACACCCTTCTTTTGCTGGCCATGCTGCCACTCACCTTTTCATCGAAATGAAAGAGCGACTGGTCGAAGTAGGGCGATGGGGAGTAGGTCTGTGCGCTGTAGGGCAGAGCAGCCAGCATCCGCTTGATTGCCTGGAAGGCCAGAAAGAACATGTGGAGGGTGAGTGTGGGAACAGATGGGAGAGGGGGATGGGGGTGAGTGTGGGTCTGTGCGCTGTAGGGAAGAGCAGCCAGCATCCGCTTATCTGCCCGCAAAGCCGGAAATTTTGGGGGTGAGCATAGGGCCAAAGCGACTCGCACATGAGCAGGTGATTGGCATGTGAGCACATGAGCAGGTGATTGCCAACAGGTGATTGCCATGCTGGCAAGTTGGTTAGCTGGTTAGCTGGTTGGTTACATGGCATGCTCACCTGCGTCTGAGACCCGCCCTTGCACGTGACAAGAGCAGCCTTCTGCTTCTTGAACGCCTCTCTGGCAAACACGTAGTTGGCGAGCGTGGTGCAATGGTAGCGTGCCTGCTCGTCACCTAGTGCGCTCATCTGTGTCTGTGACCCGCCCTTGCACGTCACAAGAGCCGCTTTCTGCTTCTTGAACGCTTCACGTGCAAACACGTTGTTGGCTACTTGCATGTCACCTGCTTCTGCGACTCTTCCTGTGTGCTCACCTGCGTCTGTGACCCGCCCTTGCACGTCACAAGCGTTGCTTTCTGCTTCTTGAACGCCTCGCGAGCAAACACGTTGTTGGCACAGCTGCTGATGAACAAGAACTGACTACTCCTACATCTCGTTCTGGTCGTGGGATGTTTGCATTCAATGCTCCCTTCCTCGCTCACCTGTGTCTGTGACCCTCCCTTGCACGTGACAAGAGCAGCTTTCTGCTTTTTGAACGCCTCACGAGCAAACACGTTGTTGGTACAGCTGCTGATGAACGAACAAAAACCTTGCCGGAAACCGCTGTGGTATCACCGTGCTGGCAAGCTGGTTAGCTGGTTGGTTACATGGCATGCTCACCTGCGTCTGTGACCCTCCCTTGCACGTGACAAGAGCAGCCTTCTGCTTCTTGAACGCCTCGAGTGCAAACACGTTGTTGGCACAGCTGCTGATGAACGATAGCTGATTATCAGCATGCATGTACTGACATTCAATGTGTTATTTTTTCCCTTGCTTGCCCCTTGCCTTGGCATGCTCACCTGCGTCTGTGACCCTCCCTTGCAGGTCACAAGAGCAGCCTTTTGCTTCTTGAATGCCTCACGCGCAAACACGTTGTTGGCGCAGCTGCTGATGAACGATAGCTGATTATCAGCATGCATGTACTGACAATCAATGTGTTATTTTTTCCCTTGCTTGCCCCCTGCGTCTGTGACCCTCCCTTGCAGGTCACAAGAGCAGCCTTTTGCTTCTTGAATGCCTCACGCGCAAACACGTTGTTGGCGCAGCTGCTGATGAACGAAAGCTGATTATCAGCATGCATGTACTGACAATCAATGTGTTATTTGCTCCCTTGCTTGCCCCTTGGTGTGCTCACCTGCGTCTGTGACCCGCCCTTGCACGTCACAAGCGCAGCTTTCTGCTTCTTGAACGCCTCCCGAGCAAACACGTTGTTGGCGCAGCTGCTGATGAACGAAAACCCCGCCGGGGTGCGCGGCGGCGCTCGGAAGTGGTCGCAGAAATGCTCAAACGCGGACAAAAAATCCTCTGATGAGTTCTGCAGCAGCACAGGACATAAGGAGAGAGAAACAAAAAAGGTTCTTATAGAGTCGAGTCAAGAGTGGTCGCAGAAATGCTCAAACAGCATCAGCATCAGCATCAGCATCAGAATCAGCATCAGGATCAGCATCAGCATCAGCATCAGCATCAGAATCAGAATCAGAATCAGAATCAGCATCAGCATCAGCATCATCATCAGCATCAGCATCAGCATCAGCATCAGCATTAGCATCAGCGTCAGAATCAGCACCAGCATCAGCATCAGCATCAGCATCAGCATCAGCATCAGCATCAGAATCAGCATCAGCATCAGCATCAGCATCAGAATCAGAATCAGAATCAGAATCAGCATCAGCATCAGAATCAGAATCAGCATCAGCATCAGCATCAGCATCAGAATCAGCATCAGCATCAGAATCAGAATCAGCATCAGCATCAGAATCAGCATCAGCATCAGCATCAGCATCAGAATCAGCATCAGAATCAGCATCAGCATCAGCATCAGCATCAGCATCAGAATCAGAATCAGCATCAGCATCAGCATCAGAATCAGCATCAGCATCAGCATCAGCATCAGCATCAGAATCAGAATCAGCATCAGCATCAGCATCGGCATCAGCATCAGCATCAGAATCAGAATCAGCATCAGCATCAGCATCAGCATCAGCATCAGCATCAGCATCAGAATCAGCATCAGCATCAGCATCAGAATCAGCATCAGAATCAGCATCAGCATCAGCATCAGCATCAGCATAAGCATCAGCATCAAAATCAGAATCAGCATCAGAATCAGAATCAGCATCAGCATCAGCATCAGCATCAGAATCAGCATCAGCATCAGCATCAGCATCAGCATCAGCATCAGCATCAGCATCAGAATCAGCATCAGAATCAGCATCAGCATCAGCATGAGCATCAGCATCAGCATCAGCATCAGCATTAGCATCAGCATCAGCATCAGCATTAGCATCAGCATCAGCATCAGCATCAGAATCAGCATCAGCATCAGCATCAGCATCAGAATCAGAATCAGCATCAGCATCAGCATCAGCATCAGAATCAGCATCAGAATCAGCATCAGCATCCGCATCAGCATCAGCATCAGCATCAGCATCAGCATCAGCATCAGCATTAGCATCAGCATCAGCATCAGCATCAGAATCAGAATCAGAATCAGAATCAGCATCAGCATCAGAATCAGCATCAGCATCAGCATCAGCATCAGAATCAGCATCAGAATCAGCATCAGCATCAGCATCAGCATCAGCATCAGAATCAGCATCAGAATCAGCATCAGCATCAGCATCAGCATAAGCATCAGCATCAGCATCAGCATCAGCATCAGCATCAGAATCAGCATCAGCATCAGCATCAGCATCAGCATTAGCATCAGCATCAGCATCAGAATCAGCACTAGCATGAGCATCAGCATCAGCATCAGCATCAGCATCAGCATCAGAATCAGCATCAGCATCAGCATCAGCATCAGCATCAGAATCAGCATCAGCATCAGCATCAACATCAGCATCAGCATCAGCATTAGCATCAGCATCAGCATCAGCATCAGCATCAGTATCAGCATCTACTCACCTTCCAAAATCAGAGAGCACTCACCTGATAGGCGCCCCCAAACATACCCGATAAAAGCAGAGCACCCGTGTTGTCACAAAGTTGTAGACAGTGAAGGAGTTCTGGTGGGAGCTGTCAGATGCTCGCAGCACCACCCCTCACTCACTGCTATGCCGTCTTCTCACCTGACAGGTGCCTCAAACATACCTGATAGAAGCACAGCACCCGCGTTGTCACGAAGTTGTAAACGGTGAAAAACGAGTTCTGGTGGGAGCTGTCAGATCAGATGCTCGCAGCACCACCCCTTCCCTGCTCTGCTGTACACTCAACTGAAAAAAAAAACAGGACACTCACCTGACAGGTGCCTCAAACATACCTGATAGAAGCAGAGCACCCGCGTTGTCACGAAGTTGTAGACAGTAAAGAAGGAGTTCTGGTGGGAGCTGTCAGACGCCCGCAGCACCACCCCTTCCGTGCTGCCCAGGCGGATGAGCAGATGGCAGCGGTCCAACAGCTGAGCCTGGTAGGGAGAGAGAGAGGGGCAGGGGGAACTGACTTGATGGGTAAGAGCAGGTGAGAGCACGAGAGCACCAGGTTTGATGGGTGTATGGGAGCTGTCAAATGCTCACAGCACCACCCCTTCCGTGCTTCCCAGGCGGATGAGCTGTTGACGGCGGTCCAACAGCTGAGCCTGGCGGGGAGAGAGGGAGTGAAGAGAAAGCATCACAAGGACAGGAATGGATGGGTGGGTGGAGGGAACTGGAGGGCTGGGAGGGAAATCAGTTGCTCAGCCACCCCGTCTGTGCTGCCCAGGCGGATGAGCAGATGACAGCGGTCCAACAGCTGAGCCTGGTGAGGCAAAGCATGAACGGAAAACAGGCACAAGGAATGGCAACATCACTCTTGCTGCATCACGCTCGCAGCACCACCCCTTCAATGCTGCCCAGGCGGATGAGCAGATGACAGCGGTCCAACAGCTGAGCCTGGTGTGTGGGGAAAGAGAGGGGTTGAAGGAAGAGCATCACAAAAACAGCGGTCCAACAGCTGAGCCTGGCGTGTGGGTTGAAAAAGGAGGAAGAAAATCATCATAAAGATTCAAGAATTTCCTCATATGCTGGTTACACCCTCCCCTTGTCATGTGGACTATATAATGCCACAAGCACGGTTGCAAGGGGCGCCCCGAATGCCTGAATGTGTGCGCAATGCACACATAGAAAAGGAGGTACAGATAACCAAATCCGCGCAGTGCTGAAAGAGGTGCAGGAATCACTTCACACGCTGGCTGCCTGCTCCCCCATCCACAAAGTGGCACAAGAGCTAGTGTTGTGAGGCGCCTCAAAACGCCCACTTACCTTCCAAATGATCAAATCCGCGCAGTGCTGAAAGAGGTACAGGAATCCATTCTTTGAGCGTGTGCACAGTGCACACGTAGTAAGTCCATTTTTTAGTCGATTCAAAATAGGCTCACTACAAGCTGCTTACCTACTCCTCCCCCTCCCACTTCCCGCAACAAGCGCTAGCGTTGTGACGCGCCTTAAAACGAATGCTTACCTTCCAGATGGTCAGATCTGCATAGTGCTGAAAGTGATACAGGAATCTCTTCACACGCTGGTTGCTACCTGCCCATCCATCATAGTGTATATCAGAAAGACCGCTTACCTTCCAGATGATCAGATCAGCGTAGTGCTGAAAGTGGTACAGGAATCTCTTCACACGCTGGTTTCCACCTCCTCCCACTCCGCTCCCCCCTCCGCCTCGGTCCCCCCTGCTGCTATCCCCATGCTGCTGATGCTCCCCACATCCCACCGCACCAGACCCCACCGCACTCGACCCCACTGCATCCCCCAGGTGGCACTCAAATACATGCACCAGCAGCCGCTGCATCAGCACACTCAGCAGCCCCCCCCCTGTGAGTAAGCCCCCCACATTCATCAACCCCCCCCCACCCATACCCACATCGCCCATGCCCCTCATTCCCCCATCCTCCCCTTCCCCCCCCAACATCCACCCCCCGTCTCCCCACCCACCCCCCTCCCCGCGCCCTCCTTCCCTCTCTAACCCGGCTAGAGCTCCCCCAAACCCACTTCCCCCTGCCGCCCCTGCTCTCCCCCCTCCACCCGTTCCTCCCACTCCTCCCATTCCTCCCATTCCTCCCCCTCTTCCCCCTCCTCCGACTCCTCCCACCCCTGCTGCTCCTGCCCCTGTTCCTGCAGTACCTTCTAGTCTCCCACCACCACCATCAGCAGCAGCACCACCAGCACTAGCGCCATTTGCTTGTCTACCCTCTAGTCCATGCCCATGCCCATGCCCATGTCCTAAGCTGCTCTGTCCCCCACCACCATCCCTTTCCCCCCATTCAACCCCAACTCCTCCCTCCCCTGCCAAGTCCGCTGCTCCCACTCCTCCCCCCACACCTCCCTACTCCTGCTGCCGTTACCCCTCCTTCTCTCCCTGCCTCTCCTTCTCCCCCTGCCCCTCCTCCTGATGCTACCCCTGCCCCTGCTGCCCCCCCCACGCCCTCACTCCCCCTTCCCCCCACTCCCCCCCCCAGTTGCTGCCTCGTAATCGCCTCAACATTCCCCCTGTCACTAACAACATACCTCGCTGCCCCACCACCGCCCGCCCCCGACCCGCCGCCACCCTCCCCATCTGTCTGCTGCGTCTTCTCCTACTGCCCCTCTCTCTGCCACCACTCTCCCTGTCAACCCCTCCCCCTCCCCCTCCCCCTCCCCCTCCTAGCCTCCCTCCCTCACTCCCTATCACTCTCTCCCTCCCACTCATCCTCCCACTCACCCCCCTCTCTCCTCCCTCCCCAGTGCCTCCCCCCACGCCTCTCCCCCCCGCTGCTGCTCCCATTGCTCCAAAGAAGAACGGCAGGCCGCCTCTTGCTCCTGCCCCTGAGCTTGTCCCTCCGTGGTGCCTCATACCCCCACCTGCACGTTCGTGCGAATGCGCACGCGAGTGCAAGTGGGAGTGACCGTGCGAGTGAGCGTGGGAATGGGAATGACCATGTGAGTGGGCATGCGAGTGAGAGTGAGTGTGGGAGTGAGTGTGCGAGGCCGTGTTCGACTGTGACCGAAACGATGCCTGTCCATCCGGCCCATACGAAAGGCTAAAGAGGCTAGAGCCAAAGGTAGACATGGTAAGGCTGTGAGCAGCCGCCCCCCCTTGCATCCACACATCCCCACCCCTTCCCCCACCTGCTCCTCCCGCTCCTGCTCCCCCTACTGCTCCTGCTCCTCCTGCTCCTGCTCCTGCTCCTGCCCCTCCCCCTCCCCCTCCCCCTCCCCCTCCCCCTCCCCCTCCCCCTCCCCCTCCCCCTCCCCCTGCTTCTCTTCTTCCCCCTCTTCCCCACCAGGAGGTCCCATGGCTGAGCGGTGCTCTAACAACCGCCCATCCTCCCCCCCATACCGCCTCTCATACATTGCTACCCCTCCCACTGCCCCGGCTACTCCTCCTGCTCCTCCCCTATCTCCCCCTATTTTTCCCTCTCCCCTTTCCCTCCCTCTGTCACTTCTGTTGCCCGCTTCCCCTCCCCCTTCCCCACCTCCTCCTCCTTCGCTTTCTCTCCCCTCACTCCTCTAGCTCCCTCGTTACCTACAGTGACCCCTGTCCCTCTGTCACTTCTCTTTACTTCTTCCCCTTCTCCTCCTTCCCCTTCTCCGTCTCTTACCAATCCAATCTTTGCCTCTCCGCCCTCTTCTACCTCACCTCTCTCTCCTCTCTCTCCTCTCACTCCTCCGCCTCCTCCCGCTCCTCCTTCCCCTCCTTCCTCTCTTCTTCTATGCCCCTCCATCCCCTCCTCTCCCCTGCGCCCCTCCACCCCCTCCTCCCTCACGCTTTCCAATCTCAATCTCGGCCTCTTCACCCCCTGCTCGTCCTGCCTCCCACCCAAATCCCCTCCTCCCAGCCCATGCGTCTCTTTCCGCTTCCTCTCCTGTCCCATACCCTTCTCCACCCCCTCACCCCTACTCGCCTCACCCCTACTCCCCTCACCCCTACTCCCCTCACCCCTACTCCCCTCACCCCTACCACTGCCCTCACACTGACCCCTCTCATCCGCCTCCCTCCCCTCCTCTCCCCTCGTTCTACCTTCATCCGCCCTTCCCTCTGAACCCGCACTCCTGCCTCTCCTCTCTACATCACCCACCCTCTCTCCCTCCCCCCTTTCACCTCCTCCCCTCACTCCTCCCAATCCCCCCTCCCCCCTCCTCCCCATCCCTCCTCTCGCATCCTCCCTCCCTACCCCCTTCCCCTTCCTCCTCCTCCTCCTCCTCCTCCTCCCCCTCCTCCTCTTCCGTATACCCCCCCACACCCCCCTCACTAATCCCCTCTTCTCCACCCACACCCCCACTCCCCTCACCACCTCCTCCCCTCCCTGCCATCGCCTGCCTCCTCCTCAGCTCAGCCAAATGCCGCTGAAAGCGCCACTCTTCATGGAAGTGCGACTGCAGCAGCAACTCGTCATCATCACACCCAAAAGGGCCGATCACTTGCACGTCAACAAACCGCTCTGCTGCTTCCACTATCTGTGGTGAGGGGTGATGGGCCGGGGGGAAGGAAATAGCAGAAAAGGAATATGACAAATGCCGCTGAAAGCGCCACTTCTCATGAAAGTGGGATTGCAGCAGCAACTCGTCATCATCACACCCAAACGGTCCAATAACTTGCACGTCTACAAACCTCTCTGCTGCTTCTACAATCTGAGGTGTGGTGGGGGTGGGGGCAAGGGAAAGGGTTGCTGAAAGCGCCACTCCTCGTGAAAGTGCGATTGCAGCATCAGTTCGTCATCGTCACACACCCAAACGGCCCGATCACTTGCATGTCTACAAACCGCTCTGCTGCTTCCACAATCTGTGGTGAGGGGTGATGGGTCGCGGGGGAGAAAGTAGCAGGAAAGGAATTTGATCCAAATGTCGCTGAAAGCGCCACTCCTCATGGAAATGCGACTGCAGCAGCAACTCGTCATCATCAAACCCAAAAGGGCCGATCACTTGCACGTCTACAAGCCTCTCTGCTGCTTCTACAATCTGTGGTGAGGTGGGGGTGGGGGCGAGGGAAAGGGTTGCTGAACGCGCTACTCCTCGTGAAAGTGCGACTGCAGCAGCAACTCGTCATCATCGCACCCAAACGGCCCGATCACTCGCACGTCTACAAACCGCTCTGCTGCCTCCACTACCTGTGGCGATGGGGGAGTGGGGATAGGGAGTACCCAAATAATGAACCAGCCACTCTGCCTTGTGGGTGCTGAAAGCCACACTCCTCGTGGAAATAAGACTGCGGCATCAGCTCGCTCGTCTTCGTCACACACAAAAGGCGTCGCCACCTGCACATCTACAAACCGCTCTGCTGCCCCCACTAACTGGCCAGGAGAAAGGGTAGGGTAGCAAGGAAGAAATGCGGGCGCGGGGGAAGCAGGGAGATGTTGTTGCTGGAAGCACCACTCCTGGTGGAACGGAAGTGTGACTGCAGCATCAGCTCGTCGTCATACCCACAAACCGAAGGTTGCCTTGTGTCATAACAACTTCCTCTCAGTCAACTCACCTGCAACAAATGTATCCTTTGGAAGCGAATGCTGAGCACGGACAGCAGGTCGTCGTACAGAAATGGTATATGCCACATTATATGGAGCCAAGGCCGTCACTGACCCTCACCTGGAAGAGGTGAATCCTTTGGAAGCGGATGCTGAGCACAGACAGCAGGTCGTCCTACAGAAACTAGTTGAGCTACATTGTAACATGGTAACATCTCATACAACTCACCTGAAAGAGGTGTATTCTTTGGAAACGAATGCTGAGCACGGACAGCAGGTCGTCATAGAGAAACGCCCCTCCGTTGTGGGTGAGGTTGATGTAGTCGTCTCGGAAGACACGCCTGTCCACCACCTTGCCATCGCACAGCCTGGGATACAAGAACAGGGGAATCAATGTGAAGTGAAGTGAAGATTATAAGATTGTTTTGCTCCCCCCCTCCCGCCGTTGTGGGTGAGGTTGATGTAGTCGTCTCGAAGCACGCGCCTGTCCACCACCTTGCCGTCACACAGCCTGGTGGGGGGTAGACGGAGAGGGAGAAACAGAGGGATAAGGAGAGGGAGAGGGAGCGGGAAGGGCGTGCATGGCTCCCATTCCCCCCGCCGTTGTGGGTGAGGTTGTGGGTCGAAACACCCGCCTGTCCACCACCTTGCCGTCACACAGCCTGGGAAACAGAGGTGGGGGGATAGTTGCGGGTGAGGTTGTGCGACGGCCTATCCCCCACACTTTTTGAATGAACGCACCTCACCTCACAACACGCTTCACTGCCCCTAGTCTGAGCCATACTGTCAGATGATGATACCCCCAACTCCCCCCGTCCCCTCCAACGCACCTCACGAGATGCAGCGTGATGCTCTCCATAGCAGGCACTCCTTTCACTGCCCCCACTCTAGGCGGAGAGGCTAAATCCGCAGGAGTAGCCGCCGCAGAGTGTTTCAATCCATATTCCTTGCACTCTCACCTGACGAGATGCAGCGAGATGCTCTCCATGGCAGGAACCCCCTTCACCGCCCCCACCCTGGGCAGAGAGGCTAAATCCGCAGGAGTAGCCGAGGCAAACACGCCCAGAGCGCTCCCCTGGCAGCAGAGGAAGAGGTCCTTGCACAGCACCTCGACAACTCATCTTGCTTCAACACACATCTTGTTTCATCCCCCATCTCCCTTCACATCATCCCCTCTTCTCACCTCACGAGGTGCAGAGTGATGCTCTCCATAGCAGGAACGCCCTTCACAGCACCCACTCTCGGCGGAGAAGCAAGATCAGCAGGAGTGGCGGACGCAAACACGCCCAGAGCGCTGCCCTGGCAGCAGAGGAAGAGGTCCTTGCACGGCACCTCACATGATCGCACCTCAACCTCTGCACCTTGTGTTTCAGCTCACATCTTTCAACCGTTCAACGCACCTCACCAGATGCAGAGTGATGCTCTCCATAGCAGGAACCCCCTTCACAGCGCCCACTCTGGGCGGCGATGCCAAATCCGCAGGAGTAGCCAAGCCAAACACGCCCAGGGCAGAGCCCTGGCAGCAGAGGAAGAGGTCCTTGCACAGCAACTCAACCTCTGCCTCTCAACTTACACTCTGTTGCTGCTTCACACGACGCCCACAGCCCAAGGCAGCGCTATCCTCTCACCTCACAAGGTGCAGCGTGATGCTCTCCATCGCAGGAACTCCCTTCACTGCCCCCACCCTAGGAGGAGACGCCAGGTCAGCAGGAGTAGCCGAGGCAAACACGCCCAAGGCAGAACCCTGGCAGCAGAGGAAGAGCTCCTTGCACAGCACCTCGCTTCCTCGGCCCAACGGCGCGCAGTAAAGCTGCTCAAAGTAGCTCGGGAACTTCCTGGAGGCTGGAGGTAGGTGGTCGTCTTCTTCTGCTTCTGCGACTCCTGCTGTGCCCTGCGCCCCGTAGCTGTAAGGGGTTTGTGGGGAGGGGGAGAGGAGAGGGGGAGGGAAGGGGAACGAGAGTCGTTACACACAGCGTCTCACAGCCCAGAGCAGTGCCCAACAGCCCAAGGCACAGCAGTCACAGCACTACCCTGGCAGCAGAGGAAGAGGTCCTTGCACAGCACCTCGCTGCCCCGCCCCAACGGCGCGCAGTACAGCTGCTCGAAATAACTTGGGAACTTCCTGGCAGCTGCCGGCAGGTGGTCGTCCTCCTCTGCCTCTGCGACTCCCGCTGCCCCCTGCGCGCCGTAGCTGTATAGGAGTGGGAAATGGAGACGGAGAAAACAGGTCATTTCACACAGTGTCCCTAGCCCAAGGCAGGCAGAAAGCACGCCCTGGCAGCAGAGGAAGAGGTCCTTGCACAGCACTTCGCTTCCGCGCCCCAACGGCGCGCAGTACAGCTGCTCAAAGTAGCTCGTGAATTTTCTAGAAGCTGCGGGGAGATGGTCGTCCTCCTCTGCCTCCGCCACTGCTGCTGCCCCCTGCGCCCCGTAGCTGGGAGGGGACGGACAGGGGGAGAGAGGAGAGTGGAGTACAGCTGCTCAAAGTAGCTCGGGAACTTTCGAGCAGAGGCCGGCAGGTAATCGTCTTCCTCTGCCTCTGCAACTCCCGCTGCACCCTGCGCCCCGTAGCTGGACGGGAGTGGGGGAAGGAGAAGGGGAAAAGGTGTCATTTCACTCAGTGCCCACCACCACCCAGAGCCCAGAGTGCTGCCCTGGCAGGCAGCAGAGGAAGAGGTCCTTGCACAGCACCTCGCTTCCTCGGCCCAACGGCGCGCAGTACAGCTGCTCAAAGTAGCTCGGGAACTTCCTGGCAGCTGGAGGGAGATGATCGTCCTCCTCTGCCTCTGCCACTGCTGCTGCCCCCTGCGCGCCATAACTGCAGGGGAGGGGGGGAAAAGGAAGCGCAGTACAGCTGCTAAAAGCAGCTCGGGAACTTCCTGGCAGCGGCTGGCAGGTGGTCGTCCTCCTCTGCCTCTGCGACTCCTGCTGCCCCCTGCGCGCCGTAGCTGGAAGAGGGGAAGGGGCAGGGGGAGAGCGGAGTATGGCCGCGCAGTACAGCTGCTCAAAGTAGCTCGGGAACTTCCTGGCAGCTGGAGGCAGGTTGTCGTCCTCCTCTGCCTCTGCGACTCCTGCTGCTCCCTGAGCGCCATAACTGTATGGCGGGGGAAGGGGGGAAGAGGAAGCGCAGTACAGCTGCTCAAAGTAGCTCGGGAACTTCCTGGCAGCTGCCGGCAGGTAGTCGTCTTCCTCTGCCTCTGCAAATCCTGCTGCCCCCTGCGCCCTGTAGCTGCACGGGAGTGGGGAAAGGAGAAGGAAAAATCGGGTCAGTTTACACAGTGCCCCTCCCCCACCACCAAGGCAGAGCGCTGCCCTGGCAGCAGAGAAAGAGGCCCTTGCACAGCACCTCGCTTCCCCTGCCCAGCGGCGCGCAGTACAGCTGCTCAAAGTAGCTCGGGAATTTTCGAGCAGAGGCCGGCAAGTGGTCGTCCTCCTCTGCCTCTGCGACTGCTGCTGCACCCTGCGCGCCATAACTGCAAAGGGGGGGAACGGAGACGGAGAATACAGGTCATTTCACACTGTGTCCCCTGCCCAAGGCAAAGCACTCAGAGCGCTCCCCTGGCAGCAGAGGAAGAGGTCCTTGCACAGCACCTCGCTGCCCCTTCCCAACGGCGCGCAGTACAGCTGCTCAAAGTAGCTCGGGAACTTCCTGGAAGCTGCCGGGAGATGGTCGTCCTCCTCTGCCTCTGCCACTGCTGCTGCCCCCTGCGCGCCATAACTGCAGGGGAGGGGGGGAAGAGGAAGCGCAGTACAGCTGCTCAAAGTAGCTCGGGAACTTCCTGGACGCTGCGGGGAGGTGGTCGTCCTCCTCTGCTTCTGCCACTGCTGCTGCCCCCTGCGCGCCATAACTGCAGGGGAGGGGGGGAAGAGGAAGCGCAGTACAGCTGCTCAAAGTAGCTCGGGAACTTCCTGGACGCTGCGGGGAGGTGGTCGTCCTCCTCTGCTTCTGCCACTGCTGCTGCCCCCTGCGCGCCATAACTGCAGGGGAGGGGGGGAAGAGGAAGCGCAGTACAGCTGCTCAAAGTAGCTCGGGAACTTCCTGGAAGCTGCCGGGAGATGGTCGTCCTCCTCTGCCTCTGCCACTGCTGCTGCCCCCTGCGCGCCATAACTGCAGGGGAGGGGGGGAAGAGGAAGCGCAGTACAGCTGCTCAAAGTAGCTCGGGAACTTCCTGGACGCTGCGGGGAGGTGGTCGTCCTCCTCTGCTTCTGCCACTGCTGCTGCCCCCTGCGCGCCATAACTGCAGGGGAGGGGGGGAAGAGGAAGCGCAGTACAGCTGCTCAAAGTAGCTCGGGAACTTCCTGGACGCTGCGGGGAGGTGGTCGTCCTCTGCTTCTGCCACTGCTGCTGCCCCCTGCGCGCCATAACTGCAGGGGAGGGGGGGAAGAGGAAGCGCAGTACAGCTGCTCAAAGTAGCTCGGGAACTTCCTGGACGCTGCGGGGAGGTGGTCGTCCTCCTCTGCTTCTGCCACTGCTGCTGCCCCCTGCGCGCCATAACTGCAGGGGAGGGGGGGAAGAGGAAGCGCAGTACAGCTGCTCAAAGTAGCTCGGGAACTTCCTGGACGCTGCGGGGAGGTGGTCGTCCTCCTCTGCTTCTGCCACTGCTGCTGCCCCCTGCGCGCCATAACTGCAGGGGAGGGGGGAAGAGGAAGCGCAGTACAGCTGCTCAAAGTAGCTCGGGAACTTCCTGGACGCTGCGGGGAGGTGGTCGTCCTCCTCTGCCTCTGCCACTGCTGCTGCCCCCTGCGCGCCATAACTGCAGGGGAGGGGGGGAAGAGGAAGCGCAGTACAGCTGCTCAAAGTAGCTCGGGAACTTCCTGGACGCTGCGGGGAGGTGGTCGTCCTCCTCTGCTTCTGCCACTGCTGCTGCCCCCTGCGCGCCATAACTGCAGGGGAGGGGGGGAAGAGGAAGCGCAGTACAGCTGCTCAAAGTAGCTCGGGAACTTCCTGGACGCTGCGGGGAGGTGGTCGTCCTCCTCTGCTTCTGCCACTGCTGCTGCCCCCTGCGCGCCATAACTGCAGGGGAGGGGGGAAGAGGAAGCGCAGTACAGCTGCTCAAAGTAGCTCGGGAACTTCCTGGACGCTGCGGGGAGGTGGTCGTCCTCCTCTGCTTCTGCCACTGCTGCTGCCCCCTGCGCGCCATAACTGCAGGGGAGGGGGGGAAGAGGAAGCGCAGTACAGCTGCTCAAAGTAGCTCGGGAACTTCCTGGACGCTGCGGGGAGGTGGTCGTCCTCCTCTGCTTCTGCCACTGCTGCTGCCCCCTGCGCGCCATAACTGCAGGGGAGGGGGGGAAGAGGAAGCGCAGTACAGCTGCTCAAAGTAGCTCGGGAACTTCCTGGACGCTGCGGGGAGGTGGTCGTCCTCCTCTGCTTCTGCCACTGCTGCTGCCCCCTGCGCGCCATAACTGCAGGGGAGGGGGGGAAGAGGAAGCGCAGTACAGCTGCTCAAAGTAGCTCGGGAACTTCCTGGACGCTGCGGGGAGGTGGTCGTCCTCCTCTGCCTCTGCCACTGCTGCTGCCCCCTGCGCGCCGTAGCTGTATGGGGGGAAGGGCGCAGCCGGGTGGGCAAGGGGCGGGAAAGATGGAAGCGGATTGGGGGAGAGGGGGAGAGCAAAGGCGAGGTGAAAAGAGGTGGTCGCCTTCCTCTGCCTCTGCCACTACCGCTGCCTGATCTGACACTCACCTGAACCAAAGGAAGCGGTAGACGATGAGCTCAAGGCCGTTGCGGGAGAAGAAGATGAGGTACTTTCAATGCTGGCTGAACTGAATGGTTGCACGGCATACTCCGCTCACCCGGCGACCAAGATAGTTCAAATACTCACTCATTTCAACCAGTGGAAGCGGTAAACAATAAGTTCAAGGCCATTGCGGGAGAAGAAGATGAGGTACTGCCCATCGTGGCTGAACGCTTGCACTCCGTGCCCAGCTCATTCATCCAGGGAGGGACCACAACTGCTAATTGCCTTACTTGAACCAGAGCCACTCACTTGAACCAGTGGAAGCGGTACACAATGAGCTCAAGGCCGTTGCGGGAGAAGCAGATGAGGTACTGCCCATCGTGGCTGAACCGGCGAATCACGTGCTCCGGTGACTCCACGTCGTACACTGTATGGGACGGCACGATGTTCTCGTATAAGCGGCGCACCGAGTGTAGCTGCAGGGGGGTTAAGAATGTTACAGGGTTGCACCGCACACGGGTAAAAATAGGATTTAGTGGGGCACTGATTATGCGTAGGTGAGCTAAGCGCCGTACACCGTATGGGACGGCACAATGTTCTCGTATAAGCGTCGCACCGAGTGTAGCTGCAGGAGGGTTACAATGTTACAATGTCACATTGAGATGGGAGAAGGCAGAAAGGATCAGGGAGAAATGAAAATTGAGGCTTGAAATTCCAAGTATAGCTGGAGGAATCAGAGTGGAACGGAGGGAGTCAGGAGGAGAAACGGGAGAAGGGAGGGAGAAGGGAGATGGGGGGGGATATGTGAGAAGAGAGAGCAGCAGAAGATGGGAGAAAAAGGACAGTTGAAAGAGGAATTGGCAAACAAGAGGACGAACAACTTTGGGGGGCACTCAAGGACAGTAAAGGGAGAAAAAGGAGAGTTGAAAGAGAGACTGAGGAAGACGAGGACGAAAAGGAGAGCGAAGACATCAGGCCTGCGAGCAACGACAAACTGATGCTTCAATGCGTGTAACCAGGTTACACAGATGCGAAACTCTCGAAGCTACAAAACTGCGAGAGTGCGAAACAAGCTGCTGTTCGTCGAAATTCCACTCGCCTGCGCGCACGGCGGCGAGCGGAACGTCTCGCGGTGCTGCAAGCGTTGCAAGAGGTTGTCACTGCGCTCTCTCCGCCGCGTGCCTGGCATCGTGTACCAACGGCTTCTGTTTAAATTGACGTCAGCTGCTTTATGCTACTGCAAGCTATTCTAAGCTACTAGTCGACTGTAGCCTGCTGCGTGAATCCCAAGCTACTGGACGCCTTCTATCCGTTCTCCCACATAAAAGCTAGCTGCTCGTTCAGGCCATGGCACCTGGCGTGAGTGGTAAAAGTCTAAGTGGTAAGGATCAGTTTTTGGTGGCTTTCAGAACACGCGTGACATAAGAGATAATAAGCGATCTGACAATAACCAGGCATTTCTTTGGCCTTGTGTTTGGCTCTGTGCTGCCCACGCTTCTCCAGAAACTAGTTTTCCCGCCAAACCTAGAGAATGCTGACCACGTGTTTGAACGGCCACGATATCGTGCCACATAGAACAGAATCATTGCCGGTCAACTTGAACTCAACACGGACCCAGCCAGCACAGAGTGGGCAGGACAAACTCTCCTGTGTGTGAACTTAGTTCAGCTAAATAAACGCTAGGTTTTAGCGTAGGCCTCTGGCTTGGGTTACTCCTTGTTTAGCCTCTGTGTTGTCTGGGTTACGACCTTAATAAAAACTTAAACGGACCCAGCCAGCACTGATCACCACAATATATGAGTTCGGTAGAGAGCGGTGAATATAGCTCTCAAAGCCTCACGGCAGAAAAATTCTTCGGTGATGAGACGAGATTCCCGCCGCAATTTTCCGCTTTTCACCGCAACTGGCGACGTGGCGCGCCAAAAAGGTGACGCGTAAGGGCAGCATCAGGAGTACCCCCTGCACGCATCTCCGTTTTAGTTTTAAAAATGTCAACAATTTCTTCAAAATTTTCCAGGTTACAGCCAGCTCAATACCCATGTTAAGAAAATAACTACATACAATGCATGCCCACCTGTGAAACAAAGTTAATTTATAAAGCAACGGTTACAGGTTGGCCAGGTACAACCTGCAAGACCTCCACGTTGACTTCTTTTTCTGACATTAGTATCTCCTGCACAACATAAGAATGTGGCAGTTTATGAGATGTTGGTGCTACATTACGACCATTGCCAGTAAGTGCTTCAGAGATAGAGCAAGATTTCACCTTGAATGAATCGAGAGTGCCATTAGGAGTTACAATAGAACTCAATACACCTGACGCGTCCACATCAGCATTTGCCATAGGCGCCACATATCTGCACATCACCACAGCATGCACACAGACAGCCAACAGGTCAGGCCAATTCCAGTGAGTGTGTATGCGGTTATTGAAATCAACTGAATACAAAAACAGTGCATAAAATCACATGTTAAATTTATGTATTAAGAAACAATAGCATGTCTGTGTGTTGCTTACCTGGCGCCCACGACCTTAGCGAGCCGCACAGCATCCTCCTGTCCCGACACGAGGGTGTAACCCGGTAACTCCTGTTTCACCACGGGTGTCACCAGCACATCCACTCGCTCCCCGCCCTCCTTAAGAGCTGCCTCGTTAAACACACAGTGTGGTTCGATATAGATAGAGGCACCTGATGTCCCCCCTCGAACAATGTACCTGAGGAACAGCAGTGAATGCATCGACAATTGAACAGCAGTTTCAGAGATAGGTGAGTGGGAGATATACACAGGCGTGAGCTTCTCTCTCTGAGACAAGTGTGAGCGCCTATTGCTTACACACCATCTGCCTCTCTCCTTTCTCAGGTCTCTGCCAGGGAGGACCCAGCACAGGCCCAGGCAAAGCCTTGACTGACAGATGGCCTCGTTTGAAAATTGCTTGACCCCTGACACAAACTCACCCGTTCTCTGGTCGCTGCCAGGGTGGACCCAGCACAGGCCCAGGAAGAGCCTTAACTGTCAGATGGCCTTCTTTGGAAGTCTGAATTGCATTAGATTCTCTTATTCCCCCAAAAAACTCACCCGTTTTCTGGTCGCTGCCAGGGTGGACCCAGCACAGGCCCAGGCAGAGCCTTGACTGAAAGCCGGGCTCCTTTGGACGAAGAGAAGGAGGTGGAGGAACCTGGCTCGAGGTATGTCACCTGAGGAAATGGGGCAGCAGGTGTGCGGAGAGGGGCGTGTGTGAAATGGCAGGTCTTCCCAGATCGCTACAAACATGTAACCATGTGATCATATCGTGCTGTAGTTTTACCAATCCGTACAAGAGAGCAGAAGTTGAAAAGCGACTGTCCATTCTGTATGGAAATAATCATTCGGGAACATCTGCGGGCACGTATCATCAGTATGACCATATTCCCATGCTCTAACTCTCACTCTCACACTCACATTTGAGAAGAGCGAGTCAAGAAACGCCTAGCCGTTGGAAGTGGCAATAATAGGGACGCCCAGCCGCCTGACTGCTTTCCCATACCTTCCCTCACGCACTCACATTAGAGAAGAGCGAGTCCAGAAACGCCTGTCCGTTGGGAGTGGCGATCACAGGGACATCCGGCCGTCTGGCCGCCAGGGCCTTGAGCGTCCTCGCATGCATGTGATCGTCCACCTTGTGCCTTCATTTAATGGTTTACTGTAACCCCGCACCCCATGCACTCACATTGGAGAACAGGGAGTCCAGAAACTCCTGGCCGTTGGGAGTGGCAATCACAGGCACGTCCGGCCGCCTGGCCGCCAGGGCCTTGAGCGTCCTCGCATGCATGTGATCGTCCACCCAGTGCCTTCCATTGAATGGTCTAACCCAACCCCCCACCACGAGACACTCACATTAGAGAAGAGCGAGTCCAGAAACGCCTGTCCGTTGGGAGTGGCGATTACAGGCACGTCCGGCCGTCTGGCCGCCAGGGCCTTGAGCGTCCTCGCATGCATGTGATCGTCTAGGGATTGGGTTATAAGCACCACGTCAGCATCGATGACGTCATCCAGCTGAGATCGGAGGGGGATGGTTTGTTCGGGAGAGGAGGGAGGGGAAGAGGGAAGATGGGGGAATGCGATGGTGGCGAGTGGTGTGGCTAAGTCCTAACCATGGACCGAATATCAGCTCTGATACGCGTTGTAGAGCCATGAAAGACCAGACAGAAGGTATGGGCTGAAATATTAATCAAAAGAAAAAGCATATCTTACCGAGAGCGACTTGAGCACTTTTTTGTACCCGGTATAGAGCCACGGGATACCGAAATCTAGAGGACCCTCGATGATTGGATCGACGAGCACTTTCACACCGTCCACCGACCACAGCCAGCTGTTGCCCTGCCAGGTTGATGCGAGGACAAAGGAGAAATTGATCCTGTTATAAGGTTACTCGTTACTATTAGTTAGACCCTCGATGATTGGATCGACGAGCACTTGGACACCGTCCACCGACCACAGCCAGCTGTTGCCCTGCCAGGTTGATGCGAGTACAAAGAAGAGATTGATCTTGTTATAAGTTTTTTCGTTACTATTAATTGGACCCTTGATGATTGGATCACGAGCACTTTCACACCGTCCACCGACCACAGCCAGCTGTTGCCCTGCCAGGTTGATGCGAGGTTGAAGAGAAAAAACGGGAGAATTGACCTCATTACAAGATTACCCGTTTCCGGCATTCGTACCCTCGATGGTTTACACCGTCCACGACCACAGCCAGCTGTTGCCCTGTCAGGTTGATGCGAGGACAAAAGAAAGATTGACCCCAGTATATAGTTACTCGTTACTAGCATTCACAAGCACTTTCACACCGAGAAAGGAGAGAAAGGACGCGAGATTGTACGAGGAGAAAGGAGAGGCTTTACCCAATATGAGGCTACTCGTTAATGGCATCCGTAACCCCAATAATATAGCCGACTACCAGTTTTACACCATCCACAAGACATCGTCGATCGCCGCCAAACGAAGGGTGGGGGTAATAAGTAGCTCAATCTCTTGTTTGTTTCTTGGAACTGTTTTTCAGGTAATGTTGCTTGAACGAGGAGGCGGGAGAAGCTCTCAAGGAACTTACTTCGAGGTACGTGAGAGAAATCGGAGCGGAAACATCAGCGGCGGACACGGAGGGTGAGGAAGAAGAGGACGATGCTGCAGCACGTGTAACCACGCGATTGGACCGACAGCGAGACACGTCAGCGACACGGAATCCGGCATGACGGATCGAAGTAGCTCTAGACGTTATCGCGTTCGACTTGCTTGAGATTCTGCCCTTGCTGGCTAGTCCTGAAAGTTCTTGATGAGAAAATGCACGAGAGGAACTAGCGTGACGTGGCGAGGCGTGGAGCGTCGCGGGTGACGGTCGACAAACAGCGAGAGTGCTCATGACTGCGAATGCACAACGGATTCCGAATGATCGTCGTGCCGCTCAGCTTTGTGTACAGGTGGAATCTGGAGTGCGTGTGCTAACTACTGACAGAGGTCGCCTTGAAGGAAGTATTATGGAGAATGCGTAACCTAGCTTCATCCGTGCTAATCCTCGTTATTGGGTCGTCAGTACGGGTTCCGCTATGATGCCCTTACAGACAAGTGGTGGGGGTTGTGGTTATGTGGCCTTTCCTCGATGGGGCACGTGGATCGACAATTCCCTGAGAACGAGGACGACCAATGAAAATACTTCATCAGGCTCCCTTGTAGTCACTTTCTCTGTTTCACGTATAAATATGATAAGTTGCCCATGGAGTCGTGTCAATGAGATCGTGGAATAGACAAGCCGGCCATTTTCAGGTGCATGCAACTTAGTCGGGAAATACTGTTCAGGTGCATGCTATCCCGTCGTGTTTCTCCTTCTGTTGCCACTGTTTGTAAACATTCGCCACAAACAACACTGTTCGTCAGGGGATGCAACCCGCTCAACAGAAGCAGCACACGCAACACACGCAACACACAAAATCGGCCTCACAGGGAAGCCCGAAAAGAGGGGAAAAAAAAAAAAAAACAACTCCTAGGGAAACCTGGATTTTGTTCGGTAAGTATCAACCCAACACACGGGAACCCCCTGGTGTTTCGGGTTGATATTCCGTAAGGCAGTGGAAGAAAAAATAATTATTTAAATGGAAACTAGGGAACCTGGACACACTTTACGGGAGTTTCAACCATAAGCACGGGAATCGCCCTGGTGTTTAGGGTTGATTTCTCCCTAGTCGCATACGTTTCCAATTGGGTATTATTATTTTTGCCCGTTTTTTGTCAGGTGTGTTGCGATATGTATCGACCTTGCTCGCAGTAAGGCTGCGACTGGTGTGGTTGGACGACGAGTTCGTGCAGGGGCTGCGCGAGTGGGTGTCAGTCGCATGGGTAGCATCCCCTGATAGAACAGTGTATTTCGTGGCGGAGGTGTACAAACAGAAACAACAGAGGGGAGAATCACGACGCGATAGCATGCACCTGAACAGTGTTTCCCGACTAAGTTGCATGCACCTGAAAATGGCCGTAGACAAGCGGTGTTCAATATCTCCAATTTATTGCTAGGTACTAATCTGGTAACTAGTGGCCCACTGTCTACGCGAACTCAACGGCGAAAGGCTCCGCGCTTCAGATTGATCAGCTCATCCTTCGCCAACCAAGGAGGGCAGCACGCTTTCCCAAAGTCCCCCAGCTGATCAATTCTCCGCCCCACCTCTCCAAGCAACCCTGGGAATTTCGCTGACTTCTCCGGCGCTTTTGCCATCCCTTCATACAGTTACCCTCAAAAGTCCCCAATTTTATGACGAGTTACCCCTGGTCTAAGATTCACTTAGAGTGATGGCTCCGGCAGTGGATCAACGGAGACCCACTGGCGGGCGGGGGATCCTGGGCCTTGGGACCGTCGGATTAGCTTACGTGGCGATGGAATTCGTGAGAGACCGAACCAACTGGCTGCCTCGAAATGTCGCGTCGCAGCTGCAGCCCGGTCTGTGGGGGGTCTTGGCGATCCTCGCGCTTTTTGAGGCTCCGCGTTTCCGGCATTTCGCGGAGGAGTTTCGCGCGGCTCCCAAGTTCTTCGCGAGCGTGCTTTTCATGGTGGCGATGTTCGCCGTGGAAGTCGTTATGGTGCAGTTCGTTACGGTAGTGGTCGGCATTGACTGGCACAAGTACGTAACTTCGCTATTAGATGAATTCGATACAGCACAATGTAGGATCCCGCGCATTTGAGAACGGATTATCTTGCTGCCTTGTTGGCAGTATCCCCCCTTCCCCCGATCCTCCCCCGACCCTCCTGCATTCCTCCTCCGAACCTCTCCTAGTGTCCCCCATTCCGTCTTCACATCTTCTTCATCCTTCTCAGTGCTCCACGCACCTTCCTTCCCCCCTCACCTCCCCCCCCTCCCCCCCCCACCTCCCGTCCCCCTCCCTTCCCCCACACTTTTGCTTATAGCTCGCCCCTCTAACTGACACCTATCAGTGGCTTTTCCTCTTCCTCACCTACCAGAGTCGACTTTTGAGTCGGCTCAAAAGGCACTTCGCTAGTAGCTCGCCACTCTAACTCACGCCTATCAGATCAGTGGCTTCTCCTCTTCCTCACCGGCCACCTTCCTACTCCTGTGCGCCTCCCCCCATTCCTTCCCCCCTCCCTCCACTCCCTCCCCTCTCTTCCCATTCATTCCTTCCTCCCCCCACTCCTTTCCCCCTTCCCCCATTCCTTCCCCCCTTCCACCATTCATTCCCGCCATTCCTTCCTTTTCCCCCCATCCCTTCCCCCCTTTCACCCATTCCTTCCCTCCTCCCTGATTCAGTGGCACCCCTCCTCTCCCCGACACGAGCCCCTCACCGCCCATTCTTTCCCCCCCGTCCCCCCCCTCCCGTGTCCTCCCCCCCCCTTTCCCCCCTTCCCCCAGTGGCACCCCTCCTCTCCCTGACACCGGCCAGTGGCTCCTCCTCGCCCTCAATGACTGCCTTCCTACTCCCATACCCCTTTCCCCATTCCTCCCCCCGTTCCCCCATTTCTAACCCCCCCCTTCCCTCAGAGGCACCCCTCCTCTACCTGACACAGGCCAGTGGCTCCTCCTCGCCCTCAATAACACCTTCGCACTCTCTTGTGCCCCTTCCCCCATTCCTCTCCCCTTCCCCCATTCCTTCTCCCCTTCCCCATTCCTCTCCCCTTCCCCCATTCCTTCTCCCCTTCCCCCATTCCTTCTCCCCTTCCCCCATTCCTTCTCCCCTTCCCCCATTCCTTCTCCCCTTCCCCCATTCCTTCTCCCCTTCCCCCATTCCTTCTCCCCTTCCCCCATTCCTTCTCCCCTTCCCCCATTCCTTCTCCCCTTCCCCCATTCCTTCTCCCCTTCCCCCATTCCTTCTCCCCTTCCCCCATTCCTTCTCCCCTTCCCCCATTCCTTCTCCCCTTCCCCCATTCCTTCTCCCCTTCCCCCATTCCTTCTCCCCTTCCCCCATTCCTTCTCCCCTTCCCCCATTCCTTCTCCCCTTCCCCCATTCCTTCTCCCCTTCCCCCATTCCTTCTCCCCTTCCCCCATTCCTTCTCCCCTTCCCCCATTCCTTCTCCCCTTCCCCCATTCCTTCTCCCCTTCCCCCATTCCTTCTCCCCTTCCCCCATTCCTTCTCCCCTTCCCCCATTCCTTCTCCCCTTCCCCCATTCCTTCTCCCCTTCCCCCATTCCTTCTCCCCTTCCCCCATTCCTTCTCTCCCCTTCCCCCATTCCTTCTCCCCTTCCCCCATTCCTTCTCCCCTTCCCCCATTCCTTCTCCCCTTCCCCCATTCCTTCTCCCCTTCCCCCATTCCTTCTCCCCTTCCCCCATTCCTTCTCCCCCTTCCCCCATTCCTTCTCCCCTTCCCCCATTCCTTCTCCCCTTCCCCCATTCCTTCTCCCCTTCCCCCATTCCTTCTCCCCTTCCCCCATTCCTTCTCCCCTTCCCCCATTCCTTCTCCCCTTCCCCCATTCCTTCTCCCCTTCCCCCATTCCTTCTCCCCTTCCCCCATTCCTTCTCCCCTCCCCCATTCCTTCTCCCCTTCCCCCATTCCTTCTCCCCTTCCCCCATTCCTTCTCCCCTTCCCCCATTCCTTCTCCCCTTCCCCCATTCCTTCTCCCCTTCCCCCATTCCTTCTCCCCTTCCCCCATTCCTTCTCCCCTTCCCCCATTCCTTCTCCCCTCCCCATTCCTTCTCCCCTTCCCCCATTCCTTCTCCCCTTCCCCCATTCCTTCTCCCCTTCCCCCATTCCTTCTCCCCTTCCCCCATTCCTTCTCCCCTTCCCCCATTCCTTCTCCCCTTCCCCCATTCCTCCTTCTCCCCTTCCCCCATTCCTTCTCCCCTTCCCCCATTCCTTCTCCCCTTCCCCCATTCCTTCTCCCCTTCCCCCATTCCTTCTCCCCTCCCCCATTCCTTCTCCCCTTCCCCCATTCCTTCTTCCCCCTTCCCCCATTCCTTCTCCCCTTCCCCCATTCCTTCTCCCCTTCCCCCATTCCTTCTCCCCTTCCCCCATTCCTTCTCCCCTTCCCCCATTCCTTCTCCCCTTCCCCCATTCCTTCTCCCCTTCCCCCATTCCTTCTCCCCTTCCCCCATTCCTTCTCCCCTTCCCCCATTCCTTCTCCCCTTCCCCCATTCCTTCTCCCCTTCCCCCATTCCTTCTCCCCTTCCCCCATTCCTTCTCCCCTTCCCCCATTCCTTCTCCCCTTCCCCCATTCCTTCTCCCCTTCCCCCATTCCTTCTCCCCTTCCCCCATTCCTTCTCCCCTTCCCCCATTCCTTCTCCCTCCCCTTCCCCCATTCCTTCTCCCCTTCCCCCATTCCTTCTCCCCTTCCCCCATTCCTTCTCCCCTTCCCCCATTCCTTCTCCCCTTCCCCCATTCCTTCTCCCCTTCCCCTCCCCCATTCCTTCTCCCCTTCCCCCATTCCTTCTCCCTTCCCCCATTCCTTCTCTTCCCCTTCCCCCATTCCTTCTCCCCTTCCCCCATTCCTTCTCCCCTTCCCCCATTCCTTCTCCCCTTCCCCCATTCCTTCTCCCCTTCCCCCATTCCTTCTCCCCTTCCCCTTCCCCCATTCCTTCTCCCCTTCCCCCATTCCTTTCTCCCTTCTTCCCCCATTCCTTCTCCCCTTCCCCCCATTCCTTCTCCCCCCCCCCATTCCTTCTCCTTCCCCCCTTCCTTCCTTCTCCCCTTCCCCCCATTCCTTCTCCCCCCTTCCCCCATTCCTTCTCCCCTTCCCCCATTCCTTCCCCTTCCCCCATTCCTCTCTCCCCTTCCCCCATTCCTTCTCCCTTCCCCCCATTCCTTCTCCCCTTCCCCCATTCCTTCTCCCCTTCCCCCATTCCTTCTCCCCTTCCCCCATTCCTTCTCCCCTTCCCCCATTCCTTCTCCCCTTCCCCCATTCCTTCTCCCCTTCCCCCATTCCTTCTC